GGCATTCGAAGCCAATATCAAGATTTTTAAGATGTATTTAAGAAGAAGAATGTAGATACTCTTTCAAAACATTGTTTCTATGACTGCTCAATTAACCTTCAAGAAGGAGCACAACCGCTATTTGGACCAATCTACAGTTTATCACAAAATGAGTTGGCTGAACTCAAGGAGTGTATTGAAGAAAATTTGGCCAAGAACTTCATATGCCATTCCAAATCTCCAGTAAGAGTTTCAATTTTATTTGTGAAGAAAAAAGAAAGATCATTGTAGATGTTTTTCAATTATTGAAGACTCAACAAAATCAACATCAAGAACAAGTATCCACTATCTTTGATATGTGGATTTCTTGATCAGTTGAATCAAGATAAGATCTATACAAAAATAGATCTATAAGGAGCATACAATCTGGTATGCATCAAAGAAAGAGATGAATGGAAGACTGTGTTTTGAACAAGGTATGGACATTTCAAATACAACGTCATACCTTTTGGACTTACAAATACACGGGCAGCATCCTAACATCATTCAACTATGAGATCCATGATAAAGAACTTCTTGTAATTGTGGATTTGTTTCAAGAATGGCACCATTATCTAGAAGGTGCTCCTAGTCTAATCACCATGTATACAAATCACAAGAACCTTGAATATTTTATGTCAGCTCATGTTTTGAATTATTGCGAAGCCCATTGGAGTATGTCTTTATCAAGATTGGAATTCAAGATCACTTATCTACTAGAAAAACAACAAGATTTATCAGATGCACTCTCTAGTTGATCTTACCTTGTATCAAAGGAAGGAGATGCTGCTTTTGATCAGCAACAGACAATTCTCTTGAAGCTAAAGCATCTTCATCTTCGAGCAATGAAATCAACACTAATTATTGATTCAACTTTCATTAAGCAAGTTCAGTCAAGTATGTCTTTTCATCATCTTATTCGTGATATTAAGAGAAATCCTTCAAAGTCTCATGTTACTTCCAAGTTTGAATTCAAGAACAATCTACTATATTTTGAAGGATGCCTATATATTCCAAAAGGTGAAGCTCGATTACGTATTCTTTAAGCTCATCATGACTTTTCAACAACATGATATTTTGGATACCATAAAACTTTAGAACTAATATCCAAAGATTTTTGGTAACCACAAATATGAAAGGGTGTAAAAGATTTTATTCAATCATGCAACGTTTGTTCAAGATAAAAAACTCCTTATCATCGACATTATAGACTTCTTCAACCATTACTTATTCCAGAACAACTATGGTCTTCTGTTTCTATGGATTTCATCACAGATCTTCTAATCTCAAGTGCTTATGACTCTATATTTGTGATAGTAGATTATTTTATCAAGATGGTACATTTTGTACAATGTACAAAATCTATCACAGGTGAAGAAATAGCTAAGTTCTTTCTTGATAACATCTATTGCTATCATGGATTATCCAAAGATATTATATTGGATAGGAGAATTCAATTTGTATCAAGATTTTGGTGGATTCTTTTTAAGATTCTAAAAGTAGATATAAAAATATCTTTAGTATTCTATCCTCAAATTGATGGACAAACGGAGTGTATTAATCAAGTTTTAGAGCAGTATTTAAGATGTATCATCAACTACCAACAAGATGATTGGACAACTCTTCTGCCATTGGCACAATTTGCTTATAATAACATAGTACATTCTTCTATACAACAAACACCTTTCTTTGCTAATTATGGTTATCATCTATGACTTGATACTTTTAACTTTTCAAAAGCTGATAGTCTTGTAATAGAAGATTTACAAATCATTTATTAGAACTACATGCAACAGCGAAGGCTCAGTTAAAAGAAGTTCAAGAACAAAAATTCAATGCAAATGTCTATCAAAAGGAACAACCACCATTCCACACAAGTGACAAGGTATGGTTACTTTGTTGTAATATCAAGACCACTCGTCCTTGTGATAAGTTGGACTATCGTAGACTTAGACCATTTCTTATTTCTACACAAATCAATCCAGTTGCATATCATTTACACCTACCAGAGTCAATGAAAATCCATCTAGTATTCCACGTGTCTCTTTTTGAACCATACAAGATAGTAGACATACCAAGAAGAAGACAAACTCCACCTCCTCTTATAGAAGTGGACAATAATCAAGAGTTTAAAGTGGAAGAAGTCCTAGATTCAAAGCGGCACCAAAATAAACTAGAATAGCTTATCCATTGGTGTGGATATGATATTAGTGAACATACATGGGAGCAAGTAGAGAATCTTACAAATACAGCAAAGGCAGTGGAGGCTTTTTATTGACGACATACATCAAAATCAAAATAAAAACCTTCTTTATAAAAGAAACAAGATCTAGGTAAAATAACATTTTACTTTCAATCTTTGTTTGTAGCTTCTTTGTAGTTGTGACGCTAAGAAGATGGAGAACCAACAACCAATGAGTTCGATTGAAGATCCTTCATTTTTTGACCTACCAGACGAGACATTACGATTGTCACAACCTTCAAGATGATGCAATTGAGATGAAGATCTTCAAGAACTACATGTTCTTCTTCAAATAGATGGCGAGATACAATGTGTTTGGGATCACAACCTTGGAAGGGACTCCCAATGTTTGGTGATTTTACTAGAGGTACAAACAACTCTTGACAGTGTTCCAAATATTTTATTTGAAGGAAGTTATGAAGGCCTCAGCAACGATCAAATAACTGGGTGGTCTTCTCGCCCTAGTATGGGACACTATCGATGGTTGAGAGGCCCTATCAATCATCTTCAAAGAGAACAAAGATTAGAGTATGTGGCAAATACAATTTACCGCATCTTGGACTTCCTTGATATGAGATCATTACTCCTCGTGGAACTCATCCTTAGAAAAGGATATAATGTCACAGACATATATTTACTGTAATTGTTCCTTAGATGATATGAATAGGTAGAAGTAGATAAAAGTAGATTAATTTCAAAATATCTTCTAGAGAAGCTTCCTAGAAGCTTCACTGATGTTGCTTTGACTTTACATGTATTTATACTTGATTGATAGATTAGAAATTTGGTCAATAAGTTAGCCATGTGCCACACATGTTATTAGCTTGTGGAACAAGCTAACTATATAGCACCTACATAGAAAACTTACCTTGCAAGTTAAGATACGTATTGTGCAAAGTCAACACGTTTTTGGAGGTCCTATAAAACGTCGCCATGTAGTTCTTAGGTAGATAGTATATATAGAGGTAAGAATGAAGCCTTCTTCACTCTTATCAACTCCTCTCTTGCTTATAGTCTAATTTCAAGGGTCTCTAGTTTTCTTATCTTTTAGCAATAGCCATTCCACTTTCTTTCTTAATATACATATTTAATTATTTCTATTTTTTCATCTTTCTTTGAAAAAAGTCTCACTTGTTTATTTATTTTTATCAAGTTCTTATCCTTGACACTTAGAGATACAAAATCAATTAAGACATCAATAGATTCTAATGAGAGATTTGAAGTAATTGAAGAAGGTGATAAGTCCAAAAGATATGAGGTTTTGTATGAAAATGTCATAAGATCCTTGTTATTTGCTATCTTAGGTACCAAATTTGACATTGCTTATATGTTAAGTATATTAATTAAGTATAGCTCTAATCCAAGTCAAAAGCACTAACTTGCAATGAAGAAAGTAATTAGGTATCTTAATGATATATCCAATCACATGATATGTTATGCATGTTGTAAAAATCAAAAAATATATTCTTGTTAAATATTATGATTTTGATTAATAGATATGGACATTAGAAGATCTTGTAGTGGCTATATTTTTAAGCTTAATAGAAGCTCCATAGCTTGCTTGAGTCAACATCAACCTTAGATGGCAACTTCAACTATTTAAGCTAAATACATTATGTCATGTATAGCAACAAAAGAGGTAGTGTGGCTTTGCACTTTCTTAGATGGACTTAGTTTTGTATGAGCAGAGGCTACAATTTTCAACATGGACAACAATGGGGCAATTTGTCTTTTCAAGAATCATGTATTCGATAAGAGAACAAAATAAGTTTTTGTTTGGTTCCATTATATTCATGAAGTGCATTGAAGGAAAAAAATAAATAAATAAATAAATAAATAATACCAGATTATCTCTTGACTAATCAATAGCTTATAGATATTTTCACTAAGGCATTAGCAAGAGAGAAATTCAAATATTTATGTGGTTTGATATACTTAAGTGAAATAGCAATACAAGGTCACTAATCTTGGTTGTATGAATGAGTTTTGGAGTTTGGTTTCTCTTTGTTTACTCACAACCTAGATTTGTTTTTAGTATCTCTAATTTCACTCGTGTTGTTCCTAGTGTGCACAAATTGCCAATTGAGATTTGCATTGTTTTCATGTTAATTCATGTTAATTTTGGATTGCTATAATTAAGGAGATTTTCTTGCTACAACGAACTCTCTTCTAGCAATTCTAGCTAGTTTTTATACTAAGTGTTCTTACATGTTTTGTGTGTGTATTCAACACATTAATGTGCTCTACAATTTTGTATTGAGAATTTTGATCTATAGTCTGATAAGCTCTACCCTGAATGCATGTCTCTGGTGCTTGTTTTTCAATAAGAGGTGCATCAAGAGGAAATGCTAGAGGAATAAAATCTACAAAAAATTTGGAATTGCTACTACAAAAAGCATGTATTTCGAGTTTTTAAGTCCATTGTTATCAATTTATCGTACACTGTGATCCCGTCATATATTACTAGTTTGATTATTATGTAATCAAAGTATATTCATTATTATGTAATCAAAGTATATTCATGGAAGCAGTAAATAAGTGGTAATTATGATGTCTAATAACCATCATATTAGTTGGTGACTATGGCAGTAGGAGGACAATCTCACTTGTACTTGGGTAATTGAACTTTTGGATTAAGAATGTGCACATTGGCTTGAATGTAAAGAAACTGACTAATTCTTCAATGGATTAAGCTTGACACTTCAATTGCAAGGTAAGCTACTCAAAAGTGGGATCGTAATTTCAGAGAATCAAGAAAAGTGTATAATTAATACACATTGAATTTAGAGTACCGTGCGCTGAACATTGGCTTCTTCTGAAACACTCCCATGCAAACTACACTTTTTTGAGTCCAACTCTATTTTGTACTGCGTGACACGTCATTTCCAATCGCAGCAAATGAAGAACACTCAGTACAACTAAAATGAAATTGTGTTTTTAATTAAGTAAACATAACTCACGAAAATTCTCCTGCAAAGAGAACGGATATGATATAAAATCTAACGTCTATTGAAAGGTCTGCTAACAACCCAAAGTTTATCTAGGTGCTCACTGTGTAGGCAAGACGAGGAGGGGGTGGCTGCTGATCTCGCTGGGCTAGGAAAGTTGACGAATTGTTCTGCACTCTCCATAGACTGCACTGCCATAAAGCACTCCGAGTAGTATACTTCGATATGGATTCTTGTTTCAAAGGAGCTTGAGACACACAATCTTGTCGCACGCAACTTACAACGCCTAGATCAGGCTCATAATAATCAGGTACAATTACACAGCCTAAGGCTACATAACCAAGTGGAGGTCGAGGTCTCCAGATCGTTATTGGCTCCCTAGCGCTGTGCTCTGCATCTCGCCAAACCTGAAATCCGAGCTCATTAGAACTTGACTTTCTCAAACAGCAAGATGTATCTGATAAATTCAGATACGCAGCACACCTCAGATGAAGGCATGATCACAAAATCACAATATAATGGAGAGGTTCCTACCAATTCAAAACCTTGTGGAGTAACAAATTTTCCATCATGATCATCACGATACACCATGACAAGATCTGGAGAGTCGTAAGAAGACTGCACCACGTCCCCTACTGACACGTACCTGCAAATGTCAGGCAAAACCTACTCAATATGGCTATGATTGGTTGTACAGTTTATCTGTATGTAGTATGTTCTGGTTTAACTAACTGTGGTTTCTTTAAAACTTTTTTCACTGAATTTTAGAAGCAGAATTTTAGAAAGGTTCAGGTTTGAGTAAACCACATACCCTGACGGAGGAATTGGGCGCCAGATTGAAACTTTAGAATTCTCATTCCAGGGAGCCGACTGCAAAACCGAAAATTACACGATGTAAAACGTATGTTTAACATGGTAAACTGGAATATGGTGTCAATCAGGAATCGTGAGGCGTTTGACCAAAGACATGGAAGTTCACTTCAGAGAATTTCTGAAATTACATGCACACCAAGCTGAAGGACATACAGATCTTCAGAAGTACCTTATCCCACCACAGCAGTTTAAAATCACTAATAAGTCTCCCTGAGTGTACATATGCTTTTGTTATCCCTGCATGCTGAACATCCGTCTGTAATGGAGGTTGTGAATCTTGCGGTGTGTCAAGCATCGCATGGCTAGCAGATCCTATCAAAGCCCCGAAAGTTGCCATGACTGGCACAGCTATAGGAGCAGCTGGTCCTGCCAAAAGTCCTAACGCTGCACCTGATGCAGCCCCTACCCCTGCACCTGCATAAGGTTTTCTTGCTGAGGATTTCTTCAGCAATTCCTGTTACGCCACACGTTCATACACATGCTGTTTCATACACATTCTATGCAAGAACGTAAGTCAAAGATTACACTCGCTTACTAAAAAATTACAAATCCTATATATAACCTTCAAGGTGATGTAAAGATGCAATCACACCTTTATTCTAATTCTCAAACTAAGAATTCCGTTTGGTGGTCAAATGTTATTTGAGTCAAGTAATGTACAACCACTAAAACAGGTAGGGGTCATAGAGCACCTCCAATATTTGGTAATATTTGATTACAAATATTCTCTTTCTTTTGAGAAATGAGATAAAACGTGTCACAAAAGAATCACAATTGCAGATGCAAAGAATCAATCTTCTCTTCATCAAAGTTTTCAGTCATCGTACTGATCGTCGATAATCATGAAAAGTGACTTTGATGTATGACTATAAAAAGGAAAACTTATTGTTACTCAGTACCTGCGTTGAGTTGGATGACCGGCCAGGGCCATACGTATTTAAGGCTTGTTGTATAGCATTACAGATCTCAATTGCTTGTTTAGTGCCTGGGTGGCATTTCACAACGAATTGAGTTTCTTTCTGATCAAACATGAGAGAGTCGTTACCCAAGGAACGAATTACAAGTCGACAGGGTGGCATTTGCCGAGATTCATCTTTTGCATGAAATAATTCCATCGACTTGAAGTCAACCCACATCACGTCCCATGTCACAGTACATGGTTCTTTGAGAAGGTCGGGCTTTTTTTGTTGGATTAGGCTAGTTGGGTGCTGCACATTAACAGTAGTCACAATGGTTAGTAGAAAAGAAAGACACACAATAATTTGATTGTATTATAAAACCTATTTCTTCACGAACTAATCAAAGATCAAATAGCATTGTATAAAACGAACTTCACGTGGTCTGTTGATAACTCCGCTCGTTACTAGGAACTAATCTGTAAAGAGATAATAATTGCATCCAAGACAGCAACTACACACAACTACATTTTGGAAGATTCAGGAGCAACTTACCTGCAGTAAAATTACTCTACGATGCGTAATCATAAGAGTACGCCCTTTCGGCAGGTTGAAGTGATCTTCATAGGCATCTGACATCGCAAATTTCCCTCGTACTCTGAAAAAGTCAACAGGACCAAAAATTGTTCCCCTCTCTGCTAGTTGCATCAACACCTGAGAAAAAAATAATAGACCACATCATCTTGATGTAATTGGAGAAGAGTGATACACCCAGGAACAGAGATAGTTTCCAACCTTGAACACATGAATTTCACAGAAGAAAATAGAAATATCAGACAGACCTGTCCTCGTGCCTTATACTCGTCGTAAGGACGCAACACATTGTCACCTCCAATAACACGAGGCAAACGCCGTCTCAAAACCTGCTGTTCGAACGAGATGGCAGCACTCAATTTCATGCGCATTGCATTAGCACCCTCTGTAGTTTTGGAGAGTAAATCCAAAACCCCACTCAAGGGTTGAACACCCACTCCAATCACGCCTTTACCCACACCTTGAAGAAACCCTTCAACTCCAGACTTCTGAGCACCTTCAAAAGGTTTCGTAACAATGCCCGTTACACCTCGAAATAGGCTTTTCGCAAAAGCTTCTCCTCCCTCTCGAATTCCTTCGCCTAAATCTTCAACATTCGCCTGAGCCACGCTTATAAATTTAGAACAAAGTAGTGCCAGCAAGATTAAATGGCTTCAATCTTAAAATTAACTGAAGCCCTGAGAACAGTGCAGAGAAATACGTAACATGCCTTCACTCAAATAATCGCGATCATGTCATGAGACGCACATTAAACGTGTTTTACTAGGTGGGTTTTAAAACTTTATATTTACGATCTAAGTGTTGAACGAAGCTGCATTTAAACATGACTTCATCACACCTGTTTCTGACGACCACGTATAAACTTTTTGTCCATTGAGAGAGCAGCAACTCCTTTGCTCATGTTTCCAAGCGCACTGCTTGTGTTGCCCAGTATGTCAACACCAGTTAGTAGTTTGAAAGGTTGACTCAGCAAGTCATTTCGTAAACTGGCAAAAGCAGCAGCCCACAATGCACTTTGCCGCATAGAAACATCTTCATGGACGCGTGGCGTAATACGTATCTGGTATAATATACAAACATCTTGATCAGAAACTGTCAAAAATAGATTTTAGAATTGCTAGAAGTCTGCAAACATGTTGAGGATGACGATTTTAGTATGACGCATGCGAAAGCAAAAAACCGTAGTTGTTGAGGTCTTGGGTTTATGTCAGTTTGTCGCTACACATCAAACATCAAGTCGAATTCACAACCGACGATACCCATAAAATCCGACTTCGGATAGTTCAAGAACCAAAAATGCACCAGACTTGCTAAGGAATACTAGAGGTATAACCATTAACTATATTCGCAACTCAACAGAAATACAACCAAACAATCGCTAGTAGTAACATACCGGCATTTCATCGGTATTTCCTAAAGATGTTATTAGTGTGGCCCAAAATCCAAGCATTCCTCGAGGTCTTTGCGCAGGAGCCATTGTTAGTGTAACCTTGAATCGTATTTCAGAAGTATGAAGTAGTCTGCAAACAAAGTCAAACCTCACACTTAGATTAAAAAATGTATGATATGCAATAACTACATCTGTTATAGTTCTAGAGACTGATTATAAAAAATGAAAGGACCAAAATACCTTTAACACTTGATATTTTCATTTTCATTTTCATTTTCATTTTTCAAAAAACTAAAAACTGTGAAGAAGAAGAAGAAGAAGAAGAAGAAGAAAGAGAAAACAGTACCCTATCTTTATGATTGGATCAATGGCAACAGCTGTTGTCTTGCTGCTGCTTAAGCGCCCCAAGTCGAGATGATGAAACATTTCATGTAAGCGCCAAATTATTGGCTCGTGAATGTTCACCAAAAACGCAACATTTGGTGCGTTTGGGCCCTGCAATTTAAATACAAAACAAACCCTTCGTCACCCTTAAGCGACTAAAGCAAAGAAAGATTGGTTTGAAACTGTAGCTTGTCCGAGTTGGAATAATTTAATATGTTTTCAAAAGATTTATTACTCGACAAGTTCAATAAAAGCAAACATCGCTAATCGCCTGTCACCACTTATAAACTTAATCACAATTGGCAGAAAAAACACAAAGATGATGACAAGGAGGCGTTTAGAACCTGAATGCCGATGTAAGGATAAGAAATACTATCCATTACTCCATTGTCTTGCATGGTGATTGTTCCCTTGAGAAGAAAATCACGATGCGTCTGAGACTCTTGAACCATGAAAAGGACAGGAGACGGGGTCAAAGGCAATTGATTGTCAACTTGAAGACTATCTAACTTAAATTTTAACCTGCATTGAGACGACATAAAACTAGTTAGAAATGAGTTAAGGACTACAGTAAAGGCTGTTGAATTTAGATTCACCACCTTAAGTTTCATACAAAATATCAGCTTTCTCAACATGCTAGGACGAACTTTCTAAGACGTCTTGTACTGATCAAATGTTTTTCACATATCTGAGAATCTCTCACAGCTCAACTATAAAGGCAAGGCCCGCTGCTATGGTTTTCGCATAAATTAGCTACTCTTACACTGTCCTCAGTTGATCATTCTCAGATACTTCAAATATTTTAAGTGGAAAGAAACAATCTACAAATAATTTCACCCTCTCGGCGTAGTTATTCAGGAGCTAAACTTGCCTGTTCGTCCCTGATCCCAATCCAGTTGCATAAGAAACCACAAGATTCTGGATGGACACATAAAGTAGTTCTTCAGGAGTGTGATCAACAATTGAAAGCCCAAATTCTGATAACTCGATGCTAGTATGGATTTGGTTTTCCAAACTATGGAAATCAGGTGACAGAGTCCGAGGTGTGGTTGGAGTCCCAATAATCGCCAGAGGCATGTTAGAAGTGCTGGGGTTACAGTCCATAACTTTGAAAACCCTTGTAAACCCCTCTGACACTACTGTTGCTCGAAGTGAGGCAGCAATCCCTCCACGAACAGAAGGGAAAGGACGGTAATCAAATAGCTCATCTAAGTTGAATTTTATGGAATTCTGAGGATCATGACCCTCTGGCAGGATTTCAAGAAGGTGACTGCGAAGAAGGTCTTCCCAGCCAAATGAAGCTGATGAACCAGGAAGTAACACTTTCCATAAGCTATCGTCACCGCCAGCTTGACGAAATTTGATTGGTATAACAGTTGATAGATTTTCCACTCTGCATCATATACACTAAAAAAGTATATAATCGGAAAGTAAATGACAAATCGGTGAATTCAATTATCTAATAGATACCAAAGAACAACGAATAAAAAAAGGTCAACGAAGATTCCTTGGAGATGTGCTGACAACCTGCAGAAGTAAACATCAAACCATCTGCAACCTTCACATTGGGGCATCTATGTGAAAAGTCGAGATGTCTCCAAGGTTCTATTAGAAGAAACGAAAAACAAATCAAGATATTCAATAAGACAATACTGAAAAACTGAGTTGAGACAATTCCACAAGCCTTGGTGCTGAAAATTTGAGACTTTACCGGTATGGACTCTGACGCGCAGCAAGACGGAAAACAACAAAATAACGAGAATCCTTGACTCCATTGCGAACTTCACCACGTATTACGAGACTTGGACCACCTTGTTCGGCTTGAAGTGTTACATGAAAAATTCCTTCCGTATCCACACTGAATGGGTTACTCCATCGATAGCCATCAACATTAACCTATAGAGGGCAGCAGATCAGACATGAGAGTAGTGAAAACAAGTTAACAGAATACAAGGAAAAGAAAGCTGATGCATAAGATTACCGAGATCAGCAGTATCGGATTACGGAAACTAACTTTCTTTACTAATTATTGTTTAAATACAAAGTAACATCCTGGTTTCACCTTCAACAGCTCTTGCTCGTTCGTAGATTGCCAGAGAATGGCCTTAGGAGGGTCGTTTGGGTAAAACAGTTCTTCATGCCTCAGGTCACATTGACGTAAGGACAATCTTCTTCCTAGTCGATTGACAAATAATGTGTGAGGCTGCACATGAATGACCTGAAAAAAGTTTATCCAGTCCTATTCAGGTAAGTAAAATCTTCTTCGAATACAGGTCAATGATATAATTAAGTGAAAAGTAAGGAGAGAAGAGACAAATCATATGTCACTTTCAATTAGCTATACCTGATATCGTGGCATATGGTCGAACACATGTCCTAAACGGTATATGCTTCTCAACAAAGATGTAATATCTATTCATGATGGTCTAGTTTAAGAACCAAAATATTTATTAGACTCATATCACACCACAGTGAAGGGATGCAAACCTTGGTGCGATCTGATGACATATCCAAGTACGCAGACAACTTGTAATAAGCGCCTCCATCATCTACGGCATTAAGATTAACTCTTTCCATCTGTAGTCAAGACATGAGAAAGGTCAATATAGATTCATCGGGGAATTGTCTGCTGAAAGATTTCTTCCAGCACCACTCACCAGAACATATATATACAACGAAAATAAGCAAAAGAAACAAAAATAAAATCAGGATGTATCAAAAAAAAAGACATCAAGTCGTATTGTGTCATAAACAACAAGACACTGGCGTCAACTCTAACGAAAGATAATGTCAAAACTTCATAAAAGTCCAATATACTATTTGAAGATCCACTCTGATAACTTAATTTTAGATACAAAGAACCTCAGCCAGAATCTTACATTATTTTCAAAGTCTCGAAAAGAGAGAGCACGATTAAAGACATTGCTGTTTGCTACAGCGATTGCAAGGCCAAGGCGAGGCGAGAGTAATCCATCCTCAGCACGTGAAGACAGCGATAAACCCCCTATGCGATCAGAGTAGGCCTGTAGCGAAAGCATCACAGGAGTCCCTGTCATATCCTCCACTCTTTCCAGATAATTGACCACTCGATTCAATCGTAGAGCTTTCTTTACTCCAGGGTGAGTGGGTCGACGAGCAGCCTGCTTAGCAGCTTTAGCTGCCCTAGTAAGCCATGTAGTGTCCCCAGTTGAAGCACTGTCAGGCTCAATCTCAACAAGACGATACGCTAATGGGAGTGAAGCGTCATTTCTAAGCCAATAAGGAACAAACAAACGCACGATCTTGGCAGCCGTACTGCTACCTCCGAAATCATGCTCCAGACTCACCCTCAGCCGCCTGCATCATGGTAGGTTAAGGTAAATGTATAAGAGATCACGGTGGAAACAAAAAAAAATAATTTAAAATAAAACTAGAGAGCAAGAGAGGTCAGATTCAGAAGACGCATTTTTCACCATATGTTGACACTATCTTTGCAGCTCACGGTCCATCATGAATACGACAATCCAAATCAATGTTTACCTGTTACTAGCTTGATGTGCCATCCAGAAACCAGTGGGAAGCTCCTCCATGGAAGGGTCTGAAATAGGAACAATTTCTTTCTCGGATCTCCATCCTCCTTGAGCGAGCCAAGTGAGGTATATGGGTCTCCGCACATCAACCGAGTAGATGTACACACAACCCCCGGCAGAAACTATACCATCCTGTTGTTTAATCAAATTTCCACTTGCCCTTGGTTTTTCCCAAATAATGTAAGCAGCAGAACAAGGAAGGCGGTTTTCCAACTTCACAGGAGCATTAACCGTGATTCGCCAATCAGGGATAGGATTGTTAACTTCATTATACAGGACTGTGGCATCCACATCCACATTCAACCAGCAAAGACCGTGGCCACTGCCACTGCCACCCTCTAGAACCCTGGACAGTAAAATCTCTTCAGCTTTTTCTAGCTCTTTCACTGGTAAAACGGAAACTGGTATATTACTCTTGGTTTGACGCGGAGCAGCCGAAGCAGCCCCATCGCTGCTGTTCTGCATCCTGCTTTGAGATATCAAATCACTGATAGCCCGGCCCCAGCTGTACAGAGAGGAATCAGATTGCGGGCGGACTTGAACACACATGTCAGTATTGCTGTCACCACCGGCCCATGGTAAAGGGACTAAATCTCCAGGTTGAACCACTCCTACTATTTGTCTGCTATGCAAATGGTGAGTTTCAGGGATACATTTGCGTTGCCTAATTAAACGGCGTCGCCTAGCAAAATCAAACATAGACTTTTTTCTAGCCTTTGAGGATGAGGGTGGAACCTTCAAAGACTGAAAATCGGGACCATAAAACCAGCCCTCCTCATCTACATTACCGTTTCTGTCGATTGACCAATTCGTACTCCATACCCAACCAGGTGGTAAGGAAGGTTCCATTAAGTCCTGTTAGAAAACACTCAAGTCTTGTTAAACATAATGAAAATAGAGCTAAAAAAATGATAAGTCACAACTTAGCCTTATAATCTCGAAGTGAATAAGACAACCTACCGGAGAAGTGTTCGAGTAGTCACGATTACTCCAACGGCTTGGATCACCTGGCATCATATGTCCAGGCCATTTGCTTCCCCAGCCTGCTAAAGGCTGATATCGTTGATTCTCAAAAATTTCCTCAACAACTGTAGAGAGACTACTCTCTGAGTCTTTAGTAGACCCATCTGGAATATTAAGAAGCGGATAAGGACAAAGGCATATCTCAAGTGCCATGTCTGTATTATTCACAACAGTCGCAAGGCTCCTAACCTTCACGCACTTCTGATTCTGTTGCATGCTCACTTCTATAGCTAAAAGCCTCCTACCAATCTCCTTCGGCACTGTGGTAACAGGTAAAAATGATCGGAGTCCTGCCCATGGACCTTCTGGGGTCACAGCTAGCAATAGTCCAATATCCACACCTTTTGTGTCATCTTTAGACTCAAAATCGGTCATTTTCTCTTTCTGCTCGCCCTTCGCAGAGAAAAAATACATGCTTACAGTTATCAGACCCCAGCTCTTCTTCTGCGCCTCGTGATCACTAGGTGCATTCTGAAATCAAAAGAAAAAGGATATGAAAACAACAAAAATAGTCAAGAAGACTTAAAACATAAACTCCTTACAAAATATAGTAATTATTCATATCATGTAGCCAGTTTGATCTTACACATGAGCAAGTCAACCTGAGATTTTGCAATCCAGATGAGTTCTAGTAAAAACTCTGCTCCATTGAAAACAAAGTTAACATCATATGACTACGCATAGAATGTGCTTCAAACATCTGATTCTTACAAATCCGAACATCCTAAAGTACTAACTAGATGTGACAAGTTTGAGCAGATCTGGCAGAGTCAACGCAGAGCTCTGTAATGATAAACGCTCAAAGCAAAAAAAAAATAAAAAATAAAAAATAAAAAAAGGGGGGGGGGGGGGGGGGGGGAAAAAAAAGGAAGGAAGAAAGGAGACGAACCATTCTTCGAGGTTGTGATAGATGGTAAGTTTTATTCTCAATGGCAGGCCAAGAAGTCACACGACCCTGTTTCAGGGATCGTCGGACCACGTTCCACAACGTTGATGATTGTGATGCATTTCCCTCAACGTTTCTATCGAGGGAAATAGAAGTTACACCAACTGCCTCGCCTACAAAACAGGAACTTTGAGTTCTTAGTACATAACTCCACGTTGACTAACTTTCTTGAATACTATTTCTCATGTACAAAAACTCTGGCAGAAGCACCTACCCTTTCCGCCTCGCGCAGCCTGATTAGATATCAAAACTTCCAGAGTAGCAGAGCCCTGCAAATGATTAAACACCTTGACTTAACATTCGAAATTAGGCATTAAAAAGTCATGGCTAAGGCGAAGAGATGCTAAAGTTATACTCCCAAAACTGAATCTTCTAAATTGCTTTGATTAGGTAATAGAGTACTCGTTAGCACGAATAAAATGGGTATTATGGAGCGAAGAGGCGATCGAAGGACAATAGTTAAGCAATCATACTCAACTGTGTTAACAACTAAGTATGTCAAATTCAAGATAGATTTATGTTAATCCTTGTGAAAGAACAATCACGCTGAACAAAGTTCAAATGCTCTCATCAATGAACAAAAAATCATTACTACGTTCATACCACATATGAAAACGATGTATCTCTTGACTTCTCATTGCAGTTTATCCCACACCCATGAAATGTGTAAGCAAAGTCGACACACAGGGACAAGTATACCTTCTGAGGAAGTTCAAAAATAAACACTTCATTCCACTTCGCTTCAGCAACTAAACAGTCCAAACCCTGCGTAACGGCATTAGGACGAACACAACGAGATCTGGCACTTTGAGGAAGCGTCTTGTGCTCGTCAGTTGACTTAGTGGTCGCCAGCTTTACAGCGCACATATAGTCTTGATGGTTTCCATCAGCATTGACAAGTAGTTCCTAAAATAACACATAGACACAAAGAAATTTATCAAAATCTGAAATCTTACGACAAACAGCTACTCTAGGATCTAAGGAGTGAACAGTACAAGCCTTCAACCTCGAAGTTTCAGACAGAAATTTCGGGCTAGTGAAACTCGACCAAGTGGCTCCAGTCTAGCATGCAAACAGTTCAAGAAAGTGTAGTAACACAAGCGAGATAAACTATACTACTCAATTGCAGAGACCAGTTATCCATCTCAATCAACAGAAATTATGAGGGTGGTGCAAATATTTAAAGGGGAAAATAAATCAAAATCCAAAAAAAGTAGTATACTCTGTACCTTTGCTTCAGAAACATGGACAGCAACAAAGTGGCGTGGTGGTCGGGAGTCCGTGACATCAACAAATCTATCAGGAAATCGTACTGGCGGCAAGTGCACCAAACTACTGGCATCCTTGGAAAGACATTCCACTTGCTCAAAATTATCCAAAAATTTCCGCAAGTACAAGTCACATCCTAGTCTGTTTTGGACTAGTAGTTTCTCCAGTTCATCCTCTTCCAGTGCACTGTTGAAAGTGTCAGGACTTGGTTCCTTATAATCACTACCTTCCTGTAGAAGACACATGCATTTCGATAATCTTAGTCGGAACAGACGATTGCAAAGACAAAATCAACTTCTTCAATAAAGGTAAGACACGTATCGCAAGAAAAGGGTGCTAATAGCTGATACCAGCCTTTGCATCAGGATGAATCCTGATACAAATTGGTGTCCGAAAGTGCAATGCACCACAAAATTAAAATCGAGACCTGAGTCTACCAATATCAGGTTATATGAACTACCATCCATGCACAAAAAAAAAAAAAAATCACTGCTAAGTGTATATAGGATTGAAACTAAAAGTATTTTGAGAAAAGCGTCCTGTGGTAATTGCAAACTAGAAACCAGTTCTAGGAAGTCAAAAACATTCAAATTCACTGTTAACACCTTTCTAGATTTAACACCTGTTGACAAGACCATACCATTTCAAGAGTCATGCGAGCTTGCTCTTCTAACTCAGTTTGTTTGCGCCATGACGTTACAGATTGCACAAGAGTTTCCAAGCCCGCAGATGTAATGTTAACGTTCACAGCATTCGCCGCAGTTATACGTATCCGCTTACCAACCTTGAAAGCAGCCTCGGAATCCACATCGAAAGACTCATATCTGGTTTGAGCATCAACAATTATTGTGAAAATCAATGTTCCTAGGACCAATTAGAAGGAATAGTTTGCAGAACTTGGTTAGTCAGCAGTCGACGGCGAGGATAATATACCATACAAAATCTGCCAAAAGAGAACAGGGTCCCACACACTAACATATAAAAAATAGACGCAAGAACAAGACACTTAATCGACTCGTGACGTGCCCCTCCAAAATTCTCAAGAACAACTGACGTGGTAAACATACTCACTTGAATATTCCTTCAAACGGTTCAATAATGGGTTCCCAACATTCCAGTTGTGTGTTGAAAGTGGAGGCAGCCATATTTGAAATGATCACAACACTCATTGCTTCCAACCGCCCATGTGCAGCAAGGTTTATGTTTGTTATTGTCGTATTAACAAGAGGTGTCATCTGAGGAAAAAACATTAGTGAAATAATTATTAAAATTTTGAATTAATTGTTTTGAATAAGCATTTAGAAACATAAAATGAAATGAAACGAAACACTTAAGGCTTTACTAACTACTACATCATTAACGCATTTCAAGAAAAATGCTTTAAATGAAATTGAACGAAAAGAAACACATACCAAGCCACCCATATCATCAAATACATTGGCAGAAATCCGCCCAATCTTGAGCTCTGCAGATAATTTGTCCCGCGCTTTCTTCTTCCCATCAGCTAAAGCATATGCCATTCTTCCTGGTGGACACTTCAAGTCTGGTCTTGCAAAAAAGGTATTCGCCTGTTCCATAGCAAGGCAAACAATATAAGCAAAAAAACAAAAAAGACAAAAAAAAAAAAACAAAAACAAAAACAAAAACAAAAACAAAAAACAAAAAAAAACAAACAAACAAACGAACAAACATGTGCTTGTGAGGAATTCTATATATATTATATAGAATTATATATATAAGTCGATCTCTAGTCAAAAACAATAACCTGATTTTCGACTCTCCACATGCTGCAGCTGTAACCTCCACGAACTCCAGACATGCTCCACACAGAATTAGGACTCCGTTCTGAAGACAACGTCCAGATTGCCGGCTTTAACAGCCGCGACTGGATGACCAGGTCAACGCGTAAACAACGAACCAAATCAACAGACGGCATCTCTGGAGCTTTCGTGACAACACAACCAACTGCAACATAGCCGGCTGGAGCCACTGGAAACCAGACAACAACGTCTTCGAGCCCTCTCCCCGTAGTGTGCATACGTTGCAGATAACGCAAAGGTTTTGCTAGGCGACCAGTATTATCATCGCGTAAGGCAACGCCCACACCTGGCGGCTCCAATCTGCATCAAGAGATCTGACTTCAGAACCTTTGAAGTACAATCTCCTTACAGAAACGTTTCCTTTTTCAACATTATAAACACACGTAGAACACGTTAACGGCACTAACTTATTTCGAAGTACCGACAACTAAACATGATAGCAAAGGGGTACAACTCACTTCATAATACTCATTCAAATGTACAGATGAAGCACCACTTACCAGGTGAATCAGAAATACATTTCACCATGTCAACCACCATGTCACAACCATGTCAATTCTAACCAGATCTAAGAATCTTAGCGGACAACGTAGCATATGATCAGGGGAAGCTAATGGATGAAGACCAAAACCGAAGACATGAAAAGGAAAAATAGATTACTAAAAACATTCATCAAAACCCCTAAGAAAAACGACAATCACCCACGCAATCAGATCCGTCTAGACTCTGTTTATTGAGTTTACAATCATAAATAATAGAGAAAAAGAAACATACCCTTGCATTAGGCAATCTCCTACAATAGCATAGCCAGGAGGAAGAACAGGCCGCCAAATGGATGCCGCATGACGAAATTCTGAACCTTTATCCCACCACAACCGCTCGAACTGTGGAGTTGTAATCAAATAGCGGCCTGTACTGTGTCTGCCACTTGCCATGGAATCAACGCGGGAATTAACACTTGGCAATCTTCTTAATGAGCCTTGGTTAGAAGATGCTTCTGCTTTCACATCAGGTTTATCCATATCCATGACAATATGAGATACTGTCCTCAAGAGAGTTTCACTCAAATCCCGTGTCAATATCCTTGATGGAGGTGTTGTGGAACAATGGGCATAAAAAGATCCAGCAGCATTTTCCACGCGCCATATACTGCAACCGTTTTTGTATCTGCCGCTGTAGTAAACCATTCAAAAGTTTATAAATACTCAGTATGTTGTATGCAATCAGTGAAAATTTAATTTTAATTTAATTAAAAATCCTACAAATGCTGTTCCTTGAGTGGCACAAACAAGTTGGGTGACTTACGCAAGTCCTCTATTTTAAAGAGCATTTAGCTAGATGAAGCTGAACTACTATTAGATGTTTGTTTATAAAGCTCTTCATCAGCGAGAGATTGCGGTATTAAGATCCAACTCACCCATCATCAGGCGGACAATAGTAAATACAGTCACTTAGAGATCCTGAAGTCACCATATCAGATCGAATACATCGAACAGAACTTAGAGAAGGCGGTGATAGACCCCTCTCAGCAACACAACCTAGAGAGAGGTAACCTGGAGGAGCGATTGGCATCCAAACGCAACATTCTGAATTAACGTCATCTTTCTGTGCATCCGATCCACCTCTAGGTTCAGCGTCACCTCTGGTGGACCAAATAAGCTCAAACCCAATTGGTTTTTGAGCAAATTTACATGTATTGCTGATAGCCATAACCGCCTGAGAGGGGGGAGCAACTCTGCCATGCAGAAAACGAGTTCAGTAAAATGAAAAAGTTTGTACTGCCTTTTTTCCAAAAAAGCTTCTTCGCTACAGCAAAACGTCGAAAGAAATATGCACACATTATAGTAACTTACCCAGAAGTTGCACAGTCACCCATGATCAGGTAACCCGATGGAGCACGAGGACGCCATATTGCAACTTGCTGAGTTGTATTATCACCTGAAACGAAAGCAACGTACCATTATAGTCGAGGTCCAATCTCTCTAATTCAGCTAGCCAAAAAGCAGAAAAAAATTAAATGTATAAAACCTGAATTCCAACAGTCAGTGCAACTAACAACCACTCTGCACCTAACCTTCACTGCTTTGAAACAATTCGTAATTTTAATAAAATTGAAGACTCGAGTCTCCTGTCGTAAATGCAGGACTTTTAAACGCATGTGACACTAAATCGTCTGGTTACGGGAATGGACGGTAGACATCTTCATCAAGAAACTTTCAGCACGTACCAGAGACATTCACCCATATTCTATCAAAATGAGTACACCGAGAGAGGGCCTGAGCGCCACCAAATTTGAAGGTTGAAAAAGCATCATCTTGAAACCGCAAAATAAGTGAGAGCACATTAAATGAAAGGCGGGTTGAAATATCAGAAGCTCCTGCTAAAAACGTGATCTTCTCTTGAACACAAGCATACTCAGCAGAAACATCCACTGGATCAACAACCACTAACCCAGAACCACCTTCAACCGTAAGCCCCTTCACCATTCCCTTAATCCACTTATCGTCTCCCTTGGATTTTATCCTGAAATGTCATATGTGAATGTCAGTAAGGTAGAATTTCGTATTTCAAACACAAAGTTTAAATTGCTAATAGGCAGCGGGCTTTACACCCCAAGGTCTTTATTTTATTCTTCTGATTTGATAACGCTTCAAAAATATTCAAAAATTGCATCTTGACGTCCAGATACAAGCAAGACACTTCCTAAACATCTATCGTTACCGGACAACCACATGATGAGACATCAAGATGAAGAAACAAACAATGTTCAATAACAAACTGAGCTGACTAATTGAAAATAACGTTAAAGAATTATTAGAATTCGATGATCAGGTTTCTAGAGAGCCACACAACACCAGCACCTTAATAACCCGAGATATTCGTAAGAAATCATCTCCTCAAATATATTTCAAAAAAAGTTAACATTGAATTCTATAATATAAGAGATTTTCATGCAGTTTCAAAGGCCGAGTGTGTCCAACTTACATGACGTAACAGTCCAAGTTGGCCCTCAGCACCCTTTCCCGTCGTGGACCACCAACAGGCCACTTGGTGCTATCATAGAAAGTAAGTTCTGGTGCAACAGCCTGCATTGGGACAGGATACAAGACAAAATAAAATAAAATAACATCAGCAGCCTTTCCGTCACAAACATATACAGATGGAGTCGGGTTCACTCAGAAAAGTTACGGTCTCACTGTCGCACAACTGCGCTAGAGCGCAAAAATAGGCGGCATGTGATACGAGGACTAGAACAGTCGAACAGAAGGGAGCACAAGCGATATTCCTGGTTCAATGAAGCATAATTCGCATTACAGATCCCATGACTTAAGGTACATGAAAGAGGGCGTTACAAAAAACCATGGTGATGGTAACTTCCGAATTTAAGTCTAGGAAGTACTCATAACAATATTTCAACCATGAACTTCCTCGTATTGCTTAAAAGAATGTTGATTTATACGTTACCGACAATTTAACATTCTCAAAGCCCTAAATTTAAGTGGAAAAGCCACAAAAAGTGCACCTGGGTAGAAAAGTTCAATTGCAACCCACAAAATGAACAATCGGTCATTAATAATCAATACGTCACCTGGATATCAATAACATAATTGCTGACTGTGGTCTTCTGCTCCTCACTAGATTTCTTGCCAGAAGATTTACTGGGTGATAATAAAGAATTAGTATGCGGTGCTGCTTGTACAGAGACACCACCGGAGGAATCTACACCTATGCCTTCCAGAATAACGCCATCGTCAAGAGAAGCAGTGTAGCTACTATCTGCGCTGAGGTGGACACATTCACTCAACCAAAATCCATTCTGCAATAAAAACCAACAGATTATGTACAATGAATTTATTTCAAGTTAAGATAAAGTGCTGAAAATTTAACCAGGTTAATAAATAACAACAAACCAAAAACAAAAATTTTAGACTCTACAATGGTCACTGCAGTTTACAAACGGCAAGAAATCTAATATTAGGGGGGAAAAAGGGCATTTACAACCGTAACTAGAATAATGATCGAATCCTACAGAGCGAAAGATCAACAAAAGTATTTAAAAGGTTTCAGGAGGTATTACACATCACAAACGCTTACCTCAATGCGAACATTCTTAAATCGCAAATTTTTTCCAGAACCAATCACAATGAGCGGCTCCATAAATGCTGGCCCATTTTCATCATCCTTAACATCCAACAACAGTGTGTTCCCACAACCATCATAGATGAATTCATCCACATCGTATGCCTCCGCAATAAGCTGTCGTTCACTACTTAGAACGATAGTGTCGTCCTTCTGTTGGTACGATGAGGTCGCAAGTCGGATATGTTCATCCACGACGTCTGTATCATTCTGAGAGTTTTCATGATCACTCTCTAATGCAGCCTTACCCAAGGAAGGTACAAAAAACTCCGCAACGGCAAGAAGAAAATCCACAACCACTAACAGCCGAGGGCGTTGAACACGAATAACGTAAGCTTGAGATTCTGGTTTAAAACGTAAATCCAAAACCAGCATTGTCAGTTCTGGAGAAGTGTCAAGTGCATTTTCATCTTCTACAGCTGTCCTTACAGGAACTCCCAGCTTCTCGACATCAGCCATTGAACCCAGCATCAGTCGCATTTCAGGCCTTGTGTCAGGGCGCTGATCTAGAACTGACAACTTAGATAGCGTTATCAAAATATCCATGTTATTTGTAGAAGTATTGCAGTAACTGAGCCAGAACTTTTGGATCTGCAATGAATGTATTTTCAGTGAGAATACTTTCTCTTTGCTTTCATAAACTCAGTGAACCACGAAAGTAGCAAATGATCCATGACAATAAACATGTACATACACACACAACATATTTCGACTAGGAACAAACCAGCCAACCCCGACGTCAAACTTCGATACACTAGAAGATGACTGATTCCAACAGACATTGAGCAAGTCCTCCTTGCAAGGCAATACAAAGATCAAAACATGAAGGGACTAAATACATTCTAAAACCTTACCTCTAAACGCGCCAAAGGTATCTCCGATTCTAGGCCAATGTACAAATCCAATTCAACCTGCCGAACATCTACAGTTACTCGCATTTTCGTATACGCCGCAGCAGCCGAAGCAGGATCAATATTCCTGGTACTAACAGCGGATTTATCATCCTCAGCTTCACCTGGAGTTTCAAGGAGCATCTTCTCTTCATCACTTATCTCACTCGTTCTTGGAGGTTCTCGAAAAGTTGGCGGAAGATGAGGTTCTTCTGACAAGTTTGTAGATGCACAGTCAATGATAACCAGATATTCTTTGTGAGTCATAACCCCACTCAGCAATGGTACCTGGCACACAGGAAGGTTTCTTAATAGCCATTTATGCAATTGCTCAGAGGACTTTACATCGTGCTCCATTAAACGACATTAGTACGTGGAAGTTGAGGAAACCTTACCTGAACATCAATGGCTAGCTCTGGCACCTTCTTGAAAAGATCCCTCAAAGGTCGCTGAACTTTCACCTGAAGACCTCTAGTTTCTCGAAGCATGGATTTTCCAGCCTGACCATTAATGCCTACAACCATGTTGATGCCTGTAAGCTGCAACATGCCCTTCATATGTTAAAAGAATATGACCACAGATGTCAAATGATATTAACTCTAGATGAAGCCAGAAAAAGGCCAATATCATCCAGGTTGTCAGGCGTAAGCTGGTCAACAGGATTCCCTACTCCAAAACTTTCCATAAGCTGCTGATTGACCAAATTTGATCTAGAAGATTAACGCTGTCACAAAACAATATTCAATTACAATCACATATTCACCCGCTTTTCAAATGACCACACAAAGAGATACAAACCTCAATATGAAGAACATCCAGGTGTACAGCAGATGCAACATCCTTGTCTCCACCATGCCACTCAAAGCTATTATGCACCTCAAGGTGACCCAAGTCCAACTGCATAAACCTGATGACCAAAGATTTTATCAAATAAATATATCATAAGATTCCACAAATGACACACTTGACCACAACTTTGCAACACCTTCTGTCAGTAGAACAAACTCAACTCTGAGAGCATTCAAATAATGAGCTCCAGAAGAGAAAATAGTTCATTAGTTCATTGAGCTGCACACCAAAGTGTATGGATCCAAGCCTCGAGTTCACACTTGAAGTAAATATCAGGGAAAACAAACGTACTCTTGGCTATCAGAGCTGCGGGGCATTATGATAATAGGGGTGTCAAGTGAAAAGTCCAACTTTACAGCTGAAGAACCTTCTACATCAGACTCCTGAATAAGTTTTTCGGTTCCTCCCACTTTGTCCACAACTGTTACAACTTGTGTGGTTTGTGGAGTAGCGAGTGCGACAAAGTATGCTGTAATCTGCTTGAACACATAATCCATTGTAAAAACATTCATCATGCTGATCAATTAGAGTTAAAGAGGGAATGAAAACAGACCATAATTTTACCAGTCCAAAGGCAAGAATGATGTCAATTCAAGGTGTCAAAAGCCTCCAGCTTTTCGTGAAAGTTTTTTCAAGTTGGTACAAGAACAACCAAATCACAACAGTAAAATAAATGCACGAGATGAATGCTGTGACAATTTATGCATATATATGACAGCTAACAAAAATGGATGCATCACGAACCTCCTGAATAAAACGATACAGGAAGACAATTCGCACTGCTGACAGCTTCCCTGAAAGTGAATAGTCGAACCCTTGGTAGTCATCTTCATCCTTGTTATAAGATTGAAATTCCAACTGTTCCACTCAACAACACACGCGTCACTTGACACAGCACAAACCTTTCCTGTTAAATAAAGCAATTTTCATTTTCGTTAAAACCAACCCCCTTTAGATTCAACAAGTATCAATACTTCCAAGCTCCATAACAGAACCTAAGCAGTAAAGCCTCTAAGAAGTGACGACAGTTTATTCAAAAATTAGCATATAGACACACACTGCAATCCCAACCATACAGGACAATCGAAGCAGAAAGCCTTAACAGACACAGATAAACAACATTTCGAAAGAAATCTCAGAAAAAGCAAGCTACACACTAGATTAGGATAAGCCACACACGAAATCGTGGAGATCTAAATACCTCAACCAGCGATCCCGCACCGGGGTCTCGGATATCACAAAGCCAACCCCATTGGTGATCAGCTCCAAGGAACATGTCACAGACGCGTAAATTTCCAAGCGTCCCAGATATATTAAGAGAACCTGGATAAACCTGAACACGATGGCAAGGACCCATAACATCAGTCTAACAACCTGCAAAACAGAGTTCAAAGACAAGCCTCCTACATTCACTCGCTTTTTCCATGCTTATAAAATCACATAAACTCTGCACGTGTAGCAAAACCGCATTTATGTTGAGTCTACAAGCATGAAAAGTATCTGCACTGCAAATTACCCTTAATATAGGCCTAGACCACAACATAGTATAAAATATCACAGTAAGGATCAGAAAGTTCAGCCAACACATCAGAGTCCAAGTTCAATAAAGTTTACCTTGAGTTCAAAATGAAATTTGTCTTGAGCAAGCATACCTAGCTGAGACCCATCTTCCTTATTTACAGATATTCGAGCACTTTCCATCTCCAACTTTAATCCAAACACAACTCGAGATTTACCACGACCTAATAAGCCTTTCACTACATCACGTGGTGCACTGGCTTCAGGGTTACCATTAGAATCACCCTCCTCGAAGGTCTTTGCTGACGAAGAGGACAAACCCCCAGGAGAATCACTTAGCTGTGAACCAAACTCTATAAGTGCTACAACAGTAGGACGGTTGCAGAAGAAGTCTAGTGTAGCCATTCTAATAGCCATCTGGAAAAGTCAACAGAAAACCGTAAAACATTAGATCCTTACCGTCAGCTCATCTCTATGCTGCAATAGAAAGTAAATTTCTCAATGCCTAAAAGACCACTAGCCAGTTATGATCCTAGATCTTAGTTTGATATTCGACTGTCCTGTAATCGTAAGCACTTCCACATCATCACAGATATCTATAGCTAAAACGAGATATACTAGAAGCATTCATTTAACGTTCACTTATCTAAACTACACGCAAAAAGATTGAAGTTATTGTGAATTTACCTGAACGTCTGTATCATCATAATCTGGAGAATTTGATTGTCTAATTATCAGACGCATGTTTGCAAAATCGGACACTACTTCGTCCAAAGAATCCACCCACATATCTTGTACAGTCCCCTCTTTCACAAGATTTATCAGTTCTAACTCCCAGTGCCGAAGAGATTTTTCCTGGCTTGGTGTAAGGTCGCTTCTTCCCGATGAGAATAAGCGGTGGAAAGAGCCACGCTCACTAGACGAAGGAGAACCTGGAACTCCAAATTCTGCCAACGCATCATCAAAGATTTCCTCCTCCTCATCCTCATCCTCCTCATCCTCATCCTCCTCCTCCTCAACCTCTTCCATCTTATCATCTTCTATCGCATCAGGATGTAACTTCTCTACACAACTAGCCTCCACATCATCCACTTCAGCATCAGCAGAAAGTGATGACCGAGCAAGGTAACGACATGATGGAGCGACATGCCCCTGCAACTTGTCCTCAATCCTCAACGAGTGCACCTTCATAGTGATAGATAAGTCATACTGGCGTTGCAGCACATCGACCTGAAATAATTGAATGTAGAAATAAGGACATTTCAACACACAGATGATGATGTTGACTGAATACGTTAATTGTCAGCGTTATGTTCGCCAAACAGCCTAAATGAGAAAACAACGTACATATTCAAAGACCTGGAAAATACAATTCACCACACGAGAATGGTAAGCCAGCCAAACTGTCCGGCGGGGTGGCTAATCGACATGAGGTCCGCATTACACAATCATGACTGCGAAACAACCTGCTAAAATGACGAAGACACAAGTAAACTTAACCAAGTAAAAATGGTAACTGGCATCTAAATATGTCATCAGTGTCAAATATACCCCAACAAACTCAAAAACCATTACACTGACTTACCTTGCCACCATGAGCTTGCAACTCAAGAATAAGTTTTTCATCACCCAGAGAAGAAGAGCCACCGACAAAGGTCTGCACATTCAAGTCCAAAAACCGGATTCAATGACTAATAATATTCAATACGAAATTAGATCTGTACGCAGTGTTACTAATATTAGATCAACTTTGTATTGTAGGAAGTACCAATCATGCAGCTGCATACAAGATCACTTCTTCATAGAATCTGATCACCTACCGAGTTACTTAGAAAAATCCGCAACTCCTGAAGGAAGCCCATCACAAAAAGTTGAGGTTGTTTTGCAGGCTCCATTGGTTCTAGCATTTTTTTGCCTTCACCGATCCCCACACCATCGTCATCAACATCGTCTTCATCTTCATCGCTTGATTCGGGAGGCATTGCCAGAAGCGGTGTCTGTACAGCAAGCAAGGTTGCGGTTAAGAGACACAGATTAAGATGTCTAGTTTATGTTGTCAAAAACACTAGCACATCTATAAAGATTTCAAAGTTATCCTAGAAAATCGAGTTGCTCAATTTACTTCATAAAACGTAAGGCGAACATCAATAGAGAAGGACTAATAAAATAAATAAACGTTTCATACAAAATGAAAGCTCATAGACAAGCAGTTAAAGGTTTGGAGCTTACAGATGCCTTGTACGTGGCGAGAGCCATATAGTACTGCCATGCAGCTTTAAGTTCTTCACTTTTTAATTGCAAGATAAGAGCACTTGAGGACTCGACAACCTGGAGTTACATGCCCATTTGAAATTCAAAAATCCAACACATAGTATATATATGCACAATGGATCCCTACGATGAAATTGTTCAACGAACATATACACTGGACACTGTACACAAAAGGATATTTCTGGCAAAAAGCACAACTCTCCAGACACAAATATCTGCAGTCGTAAGCGAAGGTTACATACTGTTTGTCACGGCTACAGAGAATGAGAAAAAACATGAGTAACCGAAGACGCATACCTTTTGAATGTTAACACCGCGATGGCAAACGGCAATTACATTTTTAAAGTTGCCAATGTTAGCAGAGGGTACTTCGACTACCTGCTTCCCAGTCACACTGAGCAACCTATGGTAATAAGCCTTGGCTCCATTCCAAGAGTACATAGCAAAATACACTACCAATTAAGCCTTTGCTGGATGATGACACCAACCTTCCTAAGAACCAAAACTACGAGTTCACAGAAAACATCAAAGCGGCTGACATAACACCGTTGATGAAGAACAAAGACTTAATGACGAGGTCCACAGTACCTGATACACCTTTGATAAGTGTGCGCACTTTCAGACTCCAACACGTATAAGTATGTTCCAGCAAGAACTGCTCTACAAGGCTGCCACTCTGCTACTGTACTTCCTATACCCTGCATAGCTCACAGAACAAAGCTAGAAATCAATAACATGAGCGAAAATTACGAAGTGAATTTCAAGCACAACGTGTCTGCAAAACATCAAACTACTACGGTGGTCAAGCTTACCCCCCAAACCAAAATCCGAGCATCCCCCGAATACTCCGAACGCTGCCACGGCACCGCCGTTTCTGTTTCTGAAGAGTCGTCTGGATTGTTGTCAACAGTTCCGATTGCACTTAAAACAGACATAAGTTTATGGTACCTTGCAGGGGAAAAGTGTATGCCAAGGCGTGGCACTTTGATGGCAAGCCTCGTGGATGGATAATTTGGATGTTGTACTCGAATCTGCACAATTTAATTGCTCATAATAAGTAAGAAAACTGTAAGAAGTCAATTCATATGCAATCATTACATTTCCAACACGCGCCAAAATATCAACTAAACGATTTCAACTTTTATTCTAATCAACACAATTTAATAGGTTTTTAACAAAAGTATAAACGACAGGATTACAACTAATTTTTGTAAAGATGAAGCTAGTCAGTTACGATACACTCAGCACATGCAACACCTTGTATATGTATGTGAAGTAGCTATTCCCACATGAAGTACTTGACAACTTAAACAAAATCGTCCTTTCCTATTGTCTGTGTTCACGTCTTCAACACTAATGAATACTTTTCCTCGAAATAAATCTAATCAAAAATAAATAGTACTAAAACAAGACAGCAACGTCATTTGCTTTGCAACTTAAAATTACTATCTAGAACACCTCAGATTGATCCAATCCATGATCGAGAATAGCTTCAACATCAAGAACAACACAGTAAGTGCTGCAGATTCGTAAAAGTACAACTGAAAGAGTAGGTGAAAGCGCCAAGGCGGCTGCAAAAACTCTTCACAGTACCTGATCAAGAACGAGCGACATGCCGCAAGGGTCCAATACTGGAAGAATAACTCCGCTAGATTTTGGCTCTTCACCTTCAGTCTCTGGAGATGTTTCACCAGATGACAGCGACGCCGATGATAACGAAGAGATTTCAGACCAATGAAAATCTCTGTCCACCACATATGCCGATATCTCTTTTCCAGTTATAGAGAATCGAGAATATAAATCAGCTTTTAACACGTCGGCATCCCGACTAGCATCCTACATACCAAGTCATTAAATAATGAGAAATTACAACCTCATATGAGGTGCAATTCGGCTGAATGATGCATTAAGACAACTTTAATGTGACACTAATATCAAAAACATATATGATTTCCACATCAGAACTGCTTGCATAGTCACAATGTCTAATCAGGATGGATAAAAACTTACTGTTGTAGTGTGGAGAGTGAAATGTCCCAAATCTAGAAGGAGCTGTGTCTCATCATCGTCATTCTTGCTGATTTTAGCTGGAATAGAAATCTTAGGAGCATCCAGGTCCAGGTCAATAGAGAATCTACACCAAATTCGAAACTTCTTAAGGACTGATACAAGAATTAAAGATGGTGATTATCTCAATTCTATATTACAATGCTAGCCATGTATTGCAAACATATAGTACAAAATTTAAGCAAAAAGCAAAGAAAACAGCAACCTATATTAATTCATTTAACTCCAATGAAAAGGAAAAATCAAATACTTAAAAATTAAAAACAAAAAAATAATTATATGAAACATGTGTTAGACATGATTTAGTATCAGAGTAAACGAAAAGTTATCAGTGACACACATGCTCAATAGAAAGACATAACATCCACTCTACCTGCTCTGCTGTTCAAACGCTTGTTGTAGCTGTTCTTGTGCACGACGTGTAACTTCCTCCAACTTACTCTGCAAAGTACCCAATACTACATCAGTAATATTCAGTGCTCACGAGGGATATAAAAGATATCTTTAGTAACATGCACATGATGTTGAGAACTTCCGACGTTAATAACATCAGCGCTCCTGAGTGGGCTTGACAAAAACACTGCAAGTAAGGATGAGAAAATTGGTGATTGACCAATAAAATTCTAATTGCGAGTTTCAAATCCAGAATTTTAGGGAACCTAGCGTTACAAATCAATGGATTAAAAGATATTTTTTCTGTTTTCAAACAAATTATAGTCCTCCAAAACCGCAGACAGTGTATCACGGCACAGTAGACGTCAACCATTGAGAACCTCCAGGAAGATAGATTCACAATTTCACAGTCCGCAGCAGAAAGAGAACCTGCAAGACCGCTGCAGTCTCTAGGGCGACACCAGGACTAAGAACTTGACTGCTCTTCAAAAAATGAAGAAACCTCTCAAAACTTATCCTCCACACCTGTCAAAATAGAAAATCCAAATGAACATCAAGAGCAAAATGTTTGCCGAGCATTAGTACTAGAAGAGTTGATGAGAGTTTCCTGCAGTGAACTATGTTCAGAAAAATTATATACAGGCACTTAGAAGCTCCTCAGATGCTGTACTCTTTAACTAAATCCCTGAAGAAATAGCAAAGGACAGTGTGTAATGAAGAAATTTGTCGGGAAATTGATTATTCATATGGAAGCCAACTTAAACTGGCTCTGGTCGAGTTACCTTAACGTGACAGGGTGACATAGTGGCAGCTAATTTCCAGTCTAAATTCTCGTCATAAGGAGACTGCACATAAGTCGCTGACAAGGCATGGTCTCTTCCCTCTCGACTCACACTCTGCAGGTAAAGAAAAATTATTGAACATGAGATGAAGATGAAAGTTTTAACAATGATTCTCGTTTTCGTTTCGAACTTGCTAAAACTCTGAAACATTTTCAAATTTTGAATAAATAAATAAAATTTAAAAGCAGTTTTTGAAGGAAACAGATAACAGCCACGCACTAAGACTTAACACCAGATCAAAGCTTTTAAATTGCCATAGGAGATATTTACAACAGATGCCAAACATGATGGTATCAATTTTTAACAAAAACTTGGGTTACACTGTCCCATTTTCGTACACAAGAGAATTGGGTATCTTTACCTCAATAAGCATTCCTTCAGGCGCAGAGAGGCCATAGAACTGGAGTTGCCCTTCACAAGCCAATGTTTTTGGATATACTTGTATTCCAACTTGCAAGTTTTCAAATGTTCCACATAAAATCTCCATATTATTATTATCTAAAATACGAGCCGACCCCTGTCGGATGTTGACGTCAAGGGCCATCTGCATCATATTAGGCCCTTCGGTTTTTGAAACATTCAGCACATCTTCTCCTGGCTGGTAACTCAATAACTGATTGATTTTGCTCCATTCCTCTTTGGTGAGTTCCCCAGGAGCATCGGCACCATTAGGAGGCGTAGGAGATGTAGATGACATTGGGGAGTCATTAGGAGATGTCGCTTGGGTGCCAGCTTGGCTGGAATTTACACTTCCCCTGAGCACAGCACTCAAACAAACCGATGCTTCAGACTGAACGTCGCTAAAATTATCAAATTCCTTCTATAATAATACGAAAATATATGATAACTATGCAAAGCCGCGCAAAAATCAAAACAGCTTACGACAAGCATAACATGTGACAGTCTGCGTCGCACATGTTTAAAAACTACCACGCAAGAAATATCAAGAACCGCTTTCAACGCTTAGGGTCTCTAGAAATTCGCTAGACATCCTACAGCTTACCCAAAGGCCCATGGAAACAGGCCTCCAGATTCCCGCAGAATCTCTGGAAAATCGCCAGGAAACCCAAACATGGAAAGTGGTCCCGTAGTACACCATTCCACCACCACATGATGGAAACATGGAATGATGAGAAATCAAACAACAAGATAAAAGCAAAAGTCAAATGTACCAGCCAAACGACCACCAAGAACTTTTCCTTATTCGTTCTCGTTCTACGGCAGCTTCTTTGGATTTTACACTTTCAACCCTTGCATGAGCCAACAGCCTGCAAGAGGGGAATCATACGTTGCATCAAATTTGTTACGTCAATCATTATCTGCAAATGTCAAGAAAAAGATACACAAGTCTTATTACCTTTTGAGAAGACTATATAAAAGTTTACCAAGGCATCTAAAGAAACGATGTCATTACGCGAATGAAGTGCACTACGCTCCATAGAGCTACTATTCCATCCACAGAAATTCATGCACGTATGGACAACCCTATAGATACCACGCTAATCTTCCAGACATGCAAGCAATATGCTGAGCCAACCGAAGGAATGCACGATTGAACTAGAGACAAACGACTCATGACTATATCATGTTAATTAAGAAATGAAAGCCTCCCAGTTTCGAACATACTTCCTACCTCCAAAGAAGGATCACTTCAATATCAAGATCCTTTTCCATGTCCTTGATTTCTTGATTATCTACTTTAAAACCTTGATGCAGACATTTTGCATAGAGTTCCACATAATTTCGCCTCTTGCGACAAGAATCAGCTATTTTTGACCACTGCAGCCGATACCTGAAGACAAGAACAGTGTTGATTATCAAGAAACAATTTTGGAAGTACGTGTGTATAAAGAATCAACACTAACAGCTAGTCTGCCTACAAATCTCAGTAGATTCACAAATTTGGTGCTTGAAAAGTGGAAGTTACTAAAAAAAACACATTAAACGATTCAAGGAGAAAGTAAAACAATAAGGGAAACCCACCAAACTCTGGAGTTTTGCTGTAAAACAGCTTGACAACCAAAAAGCCACCAAGCCCGCGTATTCCCCTTAACAGGCACTTGAGGACGGAAGTGGCTGTACTCCAACCTGTTGCGATACGTCGACACTCCTTCCAAAAGTTTCATTCCATCACAGTACTGAGCCTGTGGAACGATCAATTCACGCAAAGATTACTCCGAGGCACTTAATTTTCAAGTACAGGTTAAAGAAGCTTAAAGCTTAATTAGTTAAGGATAGCTTTGTAATAATAGTTAACAAATGCACGACTTCCAGAACAAAGATAACACTATGAGACAACTTCCACAAAGAAGAGGGCACAGGGAAAGCTGACACCTACTTATGTAATGCGAGAAAGATGTTTACGCATGAACATAAACCATTATAATAAATACCTCTGAGACTGTCAATGACACGGGCTCCAGTACAAGTTTGGCTTCCTGAAATGGAACATCAGGTTTCCGCGTCTCACGTTTTCCACGACGATTGTATGTCATAAGTCCTCCTACTGGGTGCAGCAAGTACTGACGACCAGCCGCCCATTTCGGCAAGGGCTTGTCAGGAGATGCATCATTTTTAATACCCTCCATGAAAACCTGTTCGGGATTAGAAACCAGATTTTCAGTTCGCAAACAGAAAGAATAATCCCTAAACAAAGCACATCCCAGATCAATGAAAATAATATATATATATATGTGTGTGTGTGTGTGTGTGTGTGTGCGCGTGTGCGCTCACGTGAACATTGTTAGAGTCTGTAATCAAACTATTGAGGGAAAAAGAGCACGGCTTAGAAAACTATCGTACTCATCAACAGCAAGGTTTTACTAAACATTTAAGTAAGAAATTAATTAATATTCTAGAATAAAACTATCATTACGGGGGAACCGCAGGTCACCAATATGGTCTTGACATCCCTGTGTATAAAAATAAGTATAATCACAGATCTAACGTTGCCTTACAAGCCTAAAAGAAATAGGACGGTAAATTTATGTAAACCATAAACCATATAAAGAGCTTGAATATAGTCAGCACGCCATAGGGAGAATTGTCTGGAAACTTTAACATCAATTGAGGTTGAAACTGCTTGGACTAACTTTTTGAAAATCTTATATCCTCATATTCTGTTCACTGTTATCTGATATGTTAAATAATCTGATGCCTTTATATTGGAAAAAGTTTAGAGGGTTATTTTGCATGTAACGTATTGATTGTTTCAGTGTTTAAAACCACGAGGATTCAATGATGAAGGAGAAAATGATCACCCAGCAATCGTCATGCGACTAGATATATTTTGTTATACTCAAGTGTTAACACCATCCCAAGATACATTAGATAACGATGATTAACAAGATCATAACATACCTCCTCCCATTCCTGGGGAGTCATATCCTCCCATATTCTTTCCATAGACCACGGTTTGCTACCTGAGTCATGGTATACAGCCAGACGTTCCAAACGCAAAGACTGCATGACCAGAGCTTCTTGCATGAGTAATTTGTTCAAATTGAATGACCAAAAAGCAAGAAACAAAGCTATAAAGTTTGTCACGTGTCCAAATCTAATATGCATACAAAGATAATAATAACAACAGCAGAGACAATAATTATAATTATTAGAAGGAGAAGAAGACGAAGAAACGATGGAAAATGACTCGAAAAATATCACAAGAAGCGGCTAGAGGAAATCGCTATTATTCTATCAAATCAAGATCATCCAGTAGGCAAGAACGAGAAATATATAGCCATACGCATGTACTAAAGTGAGCAAATTAATTTTAAATTTCACTCTACTTGCTTTGAACAATACAAAAACATAAATATTTGGGAAATGCACCTTGCGGAGTCTTTCCAAGGCCCCACTAGTAACAAATGTTTCATTTCCCTGTTCGTCAATAGTGACAGCTGCTAGCGTCGCTAACGTAACTCCAGAACAGAATGGACGCTCTGGATTGCTGCATGCAAAAAACAGGCTTTACTGAGAAAAACAACCAAAAATGCAAAATCAGGTACTCTGTTCCCGATAACATCACATACTTGTAACTTCAACGAAATGAATAGTATTGCTTTAAAACTAAGGAATTTGACAAGAGAACTGGGTGGCTCAAAAACGTCAGACCACAGTGCAGGGCAATCCTGTTTGAAACATTTGCATAAATCCAGGCAGCCAGGCTTCAATTAAATGGTCAGATACAATCAAACAAATCAATCCAATAAAGATAGCTAAATAGCAGGAAAATTATTCCATGAGCATTTGATTACGTGATATTAACTCAAGAAGAGTAGACTAATTCACCTTGACTTACAACTGATTTGCAGCTCAGTTGAATTCAGAACAAATTCACAGTATATAAGCGAACAAATAGAAGAGCTTATACCTCACTTCATCCTCGTAACGAATGTGTAAATTAGTGATTGAGATTTTCAGATTCCCAACAATCGTTGCTATCAAAGAGCTGAACCAGGTGTTAGAGGTTGTATCCTGCAATAAATTTGTCAAAAAAATACATTTAATGAGTCACGATATTTACTGTGACAGTCGCCACACTTGAGCATTGTTAAGGAAAAATTGGGGATGCTTGCACAAGTAATTGCAAGAACAGTCGTGAGGCTTTCGACTACCAATTACAATACTGAGGTATGTCAATGATTCTAAACATTTCTAATTACGTGAAATAATTATGACTTATTGAAGCACAAACATCGGAAGTAAAAAAACAAAATCAACATACTGTTTGTTGAGGCCCAGCTGTCTTGTGGTCCTTGGCCTCAAGCATAGCCAGTTCAGCCGCCTGTCAAGTCCAGCAACAACCAATGATTAAGCGAAAAGTGTTTCCCCATCAGGCAAACAAATAAACACGCTCCAATCTTTTAAAACTCTATTTCCGAACTTACCAGACAATTTAAAAGATGCCTTCAACTTTGACTGACTACATAAACACCGATGATTCCAGCATAAAGATACACATACGTTTAATACGCTCTCTTTGACACCAAAGCGTCTTGGAACAAACTTTACAACAGAATAAGTACATAAATTCAAAAGATGAGTCTAACCTCACACTTGCGTCTTTTCGCCTCATACCATTTATCTTTGTCCTCTTCCTGCAAGCTCAAGCATGCATCACTTCTCATTAGAAAATGCACATTCAAACCTAACAAAATTGAGTGATGAGCAGCTGAAATGAACACACAACTACAATGAATCGGACAGAACGGAATGAAGTCCAGGATAATACGCCACAGCCAAAAACGTTTATGCAAACCAAGGGTAAAAGAGCTGGGCATATAAATTAGTAATTACCCTGAAGGTCCTATCATCTTGGAGAGGCTCAGCAAGTATAAAAATGCGGTCAAGAAGCACAATTACAGGATCTTTGCCTAGTCGATTCCATGGAACCTGTATGAAACAAAACCATATTACCACCCACATTGAAACATCGCAGAGTTACATAAAACACAAGGACTACATGTGCAACCAAAATGTAATCCAAACTTCAAATTCATACATTGATGTATCATGCCAGAAAAACTGCATCAATGCAATATACCTTCAATGTGACCGAACCCAGGAAGCCAGCTTTTACTGTGATAGGCAACCGTAATGCATTCAAGGCCTCCGCCTTGAGTTGCAAATCTTTCAAGACAACATCTCCTGTGTCACCCAGATTCAAATACCAACACAATAACCACACGTGAAGAAAATATCTTGTTTTCCGCCAGTGAAAAAACACTGATGGACTGTTAGACGGATAATCTTTCAGGACGTGAAATGCCGTTTAAACTCTGAGAATTTGAAATATACACTAAGGATTCAGGGTAGAGTAGTTGGAAGCCAGACCTTGCCAAACACTGATCTTCAAGGCTTCAACTGAGAGTCCACGAACATATTCTCCAAGATAAAGACGAAGAAGATTCAGGACCTGTGCATAAATACAAAAAAAAATCAAGCATCAAGAACGTTCGGGTGTGAGCAATTCTTCTGAAATGTCGGTCAAGGTTTAGTGCACAAGCAATGGCAAAAAAGCCAGTACCTCAGAGCCTTAGGTACTGATCTCTTGACGATACTTGCATCGAGTGCAAGAATTTTCCACACATATCAAATCATCGCATTACTCGGAAAACAATATTTCAAGTCCGTTTTCCAAGATTAGGTACGTCTATACATAAAAATCTACCAATTTATTTTCCACTGTCAAGAGGGAAAATATCAGTTATCACAGCTATAGTAAATACTAATTTTCATTTAACTGTTGGTTCGAAGGAACAAACTACATCCAGCAAAATTACCTAAGTCAACTTAGTATCTCTTTGCTGCTTGGAAGCAAAGTTTACTTGCGTGTCACTAGACAATTCAATTTCTTCAATAGAAGAATGCATGCTACAGAATATCACACAAAGTAGGATACTTTAATCCAAGAAAAGTCAGTCAACGTGGCCTTTTTTCCGATAGATTGCTCGTCACGTACATACCTACAGTTTGCACTCGATGAGGCAACAAAGACTGTTGCACAGCGACCATCGAGTTATTAGAATGGTTCCTACTGTTACAATTTAGGGCACTGAACATTGAAACCGCGCCCACGGGTTTTCTGAATTCGATTCGTACATGTTTCTCACGTTTCAAAAATGATGATCGTCTTCAAGAGTCTCTCAGTTTTCCGCTTCCAATACAGACATAATGCACGAAAACGTGATGAAACAAGTCCAATCCCAAAGTCTGTGTACAGTTACAACATTCGAATACAGTTGTCTGGTATAACAGCTATGATGGAAACAGAGTCACTAGAATCGCCTGTTCTATATACTCAAACTTCATGTCGTAGGTAAAGCAATAGCAATTGCATCGGCCTGCCCCACGTTGTTGATAACTACCACCAGTGCATTAAATTCTGAAAACCATATCTACGTGAGAGAGAAGTTCTCAAATAGTATACGGAAAATGTGCACAAATACGATACAAAGAAATGAGAATAGTGAAGTATGAAACTCAGGAGAAAGGTGCATGAGTGAAAATTGGTAATAGGAGCTGTGACATAATGACGAAGCTGAATGGGAAGAAGTAGATAGGGAGAGATCGAAAAGCAGCAAGGCTGTTATTGTGCCAAGGTTTTAGGGCAAGAATTTCACCAATTGACAGATTAGCTATAAGATTAATTGAAAAAGCAATACATAATAAGGAAGAGAGATTTACATGAGCCTCAAACATATTGACAGACTCTTTCAGCGCAGCTCCACGAATTATACTCCCAAAAAGCTTCCGCGATTTTCTTCCACCATTTCCAACCCCTCCGGTGTTTCCACGCGGGATCCAGAATCACTAACGGAGGAAACCCAAGCGCATCACAATCACGTCAATCCTACGACCCACAAGAATCCGACCTCCTGCTGAATTATTTATCCATTCAACCACAATAAGCCACAAAATACCACCACCTGCACATTTACACTCTCCAACCCGCCTCCCCTTCTTGTTTTCCCCTCATCAACATCATTCGAATTGGATCTACGTCTCCACAATCTTCATCACCAAACTGTTTCGATCATCTCGCAGCCACTACCCAACCTGCATCGCATTCAATCAACCAATGTGTCGCCAATCTATTATAACCTTTCACTTATCAAGAAAATTCACGCTTCTAGCCAAACCTAGTCATTATCCAAACTCAAAACTCTGTCCTCACGAATCCATTCCGCCGTCTCGCAAAAGCAACCTAAAATCTAACTCCTCAAAAAAAAAAAAAAAAAAAAAAAAAAGAGAGAGAGGACAAAAAACAAAAAACGAACAGTCGAATCAATTCCAACCTCTGCTACTCCATCTCAACTCCAAAAAGATTCTCACTCGCAGCTGCCTCAAAAATCCATGTCCCCACTCAGAGAATCGACTTTGCATCCAAAACACCAAAAATTCTTGCACAAGCTCTACCACAATGAGTTGCGGCGCAACAAAGGAAAAGGAGAGATGGACAAAGGAAGGAAGGAAGGAAGCCCCTTCTTCCAACGAGCATCGAGGCGAGCAAGAGAGAGACAGAGAGAAAGAGAGACTACCTTCACTCTCGATCGAAGATGCAGACTTGATGAACTCGACGCTCAGTCCAGAGCACTTGTCACGCATGGCTTCTTTACACACACACCCTTTCTTTTTCTTTCTAGAGTCACTCAGTATCTTTCCGGGATCGCTTACTTTAATTTTCTTCCAGCGTATCTCTCTTCATTATGCCGGGGCCTGCATGCAAAACTAAGGCGCGCTGAGAAGACACCGCATTCACACAACCCCTAGCGACCAAGGGGAACTCGTCCTCCCCGAGCAAGAAAACGGTGCTTCAACGTGGCAGGTACCGAGCCGCTAGCTCTATGACAGTCCTCCTGTCCCTGTCATTCTGGGGAAGCTAAGCTCATGAACAGAAAAACAAATATATATTCGGATTCGAATTGTGGATGAAATCCTACCTGGCATTGTTGCCCGAAGAATTGCAATCGATGAACGCCAACTTCTTTACAAGACGGAGATCCTGTGACCACAAAGCAAGAAGTACTTTTGCTGCTCTATTTATTTGCCAAGCAGAAAGGAAAACATGTTTGAATCCTACATTCTTTATCTTGACTTTACAATCAAATAAATAAATAAATAATCTCCAGAAATAAAACTTATGAATTTGTTTTGTACATTCATACAAAATATTGGATCAATTAAGGTCCATTTAATTGATTCAATATTTATTCATACTTACATACACATGATCTAACAGATGGCCAAGAAATAGTATACAGGAAAAATATTGTGCATATGACTTCATTATATTTCAAGAGGCCAACGCCTATTTTCAAATAATTTTTAATTTTATTTATTTTTAAATCAAACTATATTGAAGATTTTAGTAATTTTTTAAAATAATAAGTAAAATATGAATGGTTTGGGTGGATTGTAAGGCATTTACTTGTTCTATGTGTAATTGTGATTTAAGAGTAGGCCAATATATCAGCTTGTAATCATTACATTTTATATTAAGTAGATATTATTTTAATTCGAAGGAATTGTGTAAATTGCTCCATGTTGATAGCAATGTCTTTACAGACCCTATTACTTTTTATTTTTTTTATTTTTATGCTGAGTCATCTTATTTGTCTATTTTTTGAAGAGCAAACATCAGATGTAGCAGTTTTGAATCTCAATCTGAAGGCAAACCCACATTAGTTCCCTAGGATGGTTTGCATTTGACCAAATTTATTGGGCCGGAGCGATTGTGAGAAAGGTTCATCCACATCATTGTTGCTGTAACAAACACTCCCCACTTCATAGATTTCGTGCCAGTGAAAAATAAAGTTTTAATTATTCAAGACTTCTTGGCTTCGGAATTTCCTATTTCCAGGCTCGCTTTCCATGTCCAGTCAAAATCAAAATCCCTTTCCTTCACTTTGTATCCTTTTTCTCAGTTCAATATTTCACTTTCTCACTGTTAACTTTTACGTATATGTTTAATTTCCATCCCCAGCCAACTGTGTTTTGAGAGCAGACGTGCGTGTCAGAGTTGCAGGTGGTAGCGTAGTGACACCTCAGCGATACTGTAGAATACTCTGACCTGTATGAGCATGGTGAGATTTCACTGGAGTGCAGCCCACGTGGGGTCCTTCTTTACGTGTACTCAGTCCAAGTCATGTGTGCAGAAGGTGGTCTTTGGACATCCTCCCGAATGAGATGGCGGGAAAAGGGATGACAGTGACGGTGTTAGGGCTGTCTCAGGCTCCTCGTGAACACTCACTCTGTTCCTCAATCAGTATCATCGTCTCAGCGAGGGCGTCGGTGCCCGTAAGAGCTCAGAATGATGCGATCGACAGCAGTTGTTTTGTTTTGTTTTGTCTTGTTTTTTGTTTTTATATCGAAGAAAGTCATTCTTCTCGTTGCTACAGTGATATCTCTATGAAATGTCGGGGAGTGTATTTGTAGTGTCTTGTTCCACCAGGGGAGAGAAAAGGGAGACGCGGCGGAGGGGGACGATGGAGTCAAGTCGTCTTGCTGCGTACTCAAGTCATTGGCCCTGCCGAGAAGGGTGCTGGAGTTGTATTGAATGAGTTCTTTGAAGAAGTTCGGTGATGCGGTTTGTCAACACGCATCTGAAAACTTCACGGTCGTTTCGACGGAGGGAATCTTTTTGGAGAAGGCGAAACCAGCTAGTGCTATTGCGGAGCCTGAGAAGGTTGCCGATCTTGCACTTCTTGGAAATGGTTTACTTAACGTTTGCGGGACTTGTAGAAAGAAGGGAGATTATTGGACCTTAAAGTGTCCCTCGAAGGAATCAGTTTCAACTAAGGTCTTTTCATTTGGAGGTGAGAAGCCAACGACTGGCGACGATGTCTCCGCAGGAGCTAGTGTAAAGGGATCATATGTGCCACCTAGCATGCGGTTGAGTAAGGCTAATGATGGAGAGAATATGAAGCGACCGGGAAGTCACAAACATTTCAGAAGACACCCGCGAGCAGGATCTTCAGGAGTTGTTCCGACCATTTGGTGCAATCTCTCGTATTTGTGTTGCATTCGATCGTGAATCTGGGATCAGTCGTGGTTTTACGTTTATCGATTTTGTCAACCGGTACTAATTCTGCCCCTCGTACACCATCCACACTTTTGGACAGTTAGTTCTTATTATCCTGATGCTAAACAACAAACCAGTAACAATGCTATATAGAGAGGAGAACCACGGTCCTTGGTGCATCTCTTTGTTGACCAACAAATTAACAAGAGTAACAGACAGTGTGAAAAACCATGATCCTTAATACATCTCTATGTTGTCCTTGATATAAAAAACACACTTGACGGCAAAAATATCCCACGAAGACAAACTAGAGTCACTAACCACATTGGAGTTGCTATCTCTCAATGACAGAAAACTCTCTATTAGGTTGAGCTGTAGGATACAACTAAATTTAGTGCACAATCCAAAATGCAATAAGAATTTGTTCACACACAATAGTTTGATGAAATCTTACAAATTACAATTGAAAGTCAAAGTCGTTAGGTAGCTTAACAATATAAAAGACATCCAAAATTCAAACATAATAATTAGAACAGAAACATCTATTGATCTAAACTTGTATCTATCCCAACATCTCAACATACATCTACAACAAAATAGTTTATTCTTTGTTCCAAAAATTTAGCAATCTTGTTACTCATATTTCATGATAAGTTAATACTTGCAATAGGCAAAATGTCCTAGGATAATAAGTCTATTATTACAATATGCACAATTATAAATAGTAGTTTAAAGACCTCTTATCAACATTCTTGTACCATGAATGCTATTTAAGTACTAGTCTAGTGATTCCAAAGTTACACTTGAAGAAACAAATGTACCATTACTAGTTATTATCTTTGTAGTCATAATACTATACTATGATTTTATATTATTCCAATGACTAATAACTATAGACTATCAAACAAGAAAAATAACAATATTTGTTTACATCATAGAGTTTAATATACCAATTTACTAACATCACTAAATATACAACCTTGATATCTTTGACTTATATTTACTTTTGTAAATCACAAATTATAACTAAAAACTACCTTTCTTAATGAATGCTTTCAAAGTAGAAGTTATGTAATTATTAATGGAAATATGAGATAATATTTTCAAAGTCTTTGTTATGCAATGACTAGTTTTAAATACAAAATTAAATAGATACATCAAAATTAGTTCAAATAAATATAAAAGAAAATTTAGCAAGACCAAGCAAAAATATCCTATTTTATCTTAAACAATTGATATTTTTGACCTAAACATAGTTATATGAATGAAGATAGTATAATTTTAAGGCAAGTCTCAACAACATGTTTAGTATGTCCAAACAAACCTATATATAATACAATGATAATAAATTGGATATAATCGGATCCTACAAACTCTAAGTCCTATGGCTCATATCCTTATCATCTTCCATTTTTTTCTTTTCCATGTGATATATCCAAGAGATATAAGAGGAGAACAAATACAAATCAATGATACCAATAAATGAAGAAACATACATTGTGGCAAACTCTAGATGAACAAAAAGATCTATAATTTACAATAAAAATCTCTCTTCTACCTCTTTGAGCAATTATCAAATATGCCAACAAAATATGAAAAGAAGGGAATGTACAATGATTTATGTTACTATAGGAAAGTCACACAATACATATTCTAAGAAGTATATATAAGCTCTAATCGTATAAGAAAATAATATGTCTATTAATAATAAGATTGTTAGGATCTAAATTTCTTCTTTTATTATTAATCAATGACAAAGTATAAAATTACACATCTTATTCTAAAGTATATATGGATTAAATGATTCATTAATATATCTCAATTAAAAAATTAAATAAGGTGCACATAACCAACTTGCAATATTTTACTCTTACAAGAACTCAAGTTAAATAACTTAGATGAATCATTATGGAAGGAGGAAGGATGTCATATTCTAAAAGCCTCACTAAAATATAACCACAATAAAGACAATTGATAAAATATATATTAATTAAAATTTATATTTAGAATTTTATTTCTTTTTTGGACTCTTTGATTAATAAGAAAATCTAATAAATAACTTTAGACTATATTCCAATTGAATAAATTAAGAAAAATTAATATTTTTACTTTAAATTATACTTATAAAAGAAGTTAATTATAAAAAGAACTTTATTCCACCGTTTGTAATAATATAAGCTAAATAATTAGTAGATAAAAATATATATTATAAAAATTCTTTTTATTATGTAATAAAAAATATAAAAAAATCCTAAAATATATTTAGCTTAATATTTTTTAATAAATAATATAATATAATATTTTTAAAAATGAAAAACTGAATATTGATAATATTTATAGAAGTTTTATATCTTTGCATAAGTACTTAATTCCACTCAAATTCTTAAATATTTTACTAAAAGAAATACCTTCTTTTTTAATCACTTCTTAGTTTATTTTTTAGTCCAATTTAAACCTTCAATAAGACCTCATTAAAATTACAAAGTGAACACCTAATACTTAAAAGATATTTATATAAAACAATTTATTTATGTATCATGTATATATAAAAAACTTGCCTTGCAAGTTAAGACATGTATTGGAGGTCATATTGAATGTTGCAACATAGCTCATAGTTAGATAGTGTATATAGATGCAAGATTGAAGCCTTCTTCACTCTTGTCAACTCATTTTTTACTTCTACTCTAGTTTTCTAGCCTTAGAAAATAGACATTCTAGTTTCTTATTAAATATATTTACATTCTTATTTTTAGTTTGTCATATCTCTTTGGTTCTTTTCTTATTTGTTTATATATCTTATTTAATTTCTTGTCCTTGACATTAAGATATATGGAACTAATAAAACAACTTTTACAACCAAGTTTTAAAGAAAAAATATAACTTGTAGGAATTATTATAAGATAAAAGTAAGACAAATAAAAAAAGAACTTATAAAGAAAATGTGATTAGGAGAAATTCATATAAGTCTTCATGAAGGCCTTGATTGTTTTCTTATGTATGAGGTTGAATGTCTAATTATAAATTAGATAAAATCAAAAAAATCAAATTGAAGGACTTAAAAATAACAAATAAAAGTTTAAATATAAAAATAATATTTTTTTTATCAATTCAAAGAGAATTCTTTTTTAATCTACAAAAATGAATTTTTAAATAAATTTTAAAACCTTTATTTTATTAAATAAATATTATTCAAAATTTTAAAAAATAAAAATAAGATCTTGGAAACAATCTTTAATTTATTAAAAATTTACTTAATAATTAAAAGATTTGAAAAAGATTGACTCTTAGAATTAATAGAATAGATATTGAATTCTTAAATTTATTCTAGTACACCATTAAAAACAATATTACAACTTATTTAGGATGCTATGATAAGACATTTCTATGATTTATAGTATAAGGTTTTATCACCCTCATATTTTTAAAATGACAAAAAGAACTTCTAAAAAACCATTGGTCCATTGTATTCTACAATATAATATATAATATATTTTCCATGTATGTCTTTATAATCTAGTGATTATAAGGAAATCAAATATAATTTGTGATGATTGTTTTTGAAGAATTAAAATCTTTATCAAATTAAGATACATATTTATTGAAGTTTATAGTGCACAAAACAAATTTGGTAACAAAATTATTTTAGCACCACTAACTTAAGAATCAATAAAATATATATATATATATATATTAAAAATATAACATATATATATTGTATGAAATTATAAAATTATATACAAAAATTGTATTGCATATTGCTGGATACTATATAGAAGAATAAATTTCTTACCTTTTGATTGTAATATATTACTATGAATAGATTAAAATATAAAATGAAAAATAAAAATTATAAAAAAAATATAATATAAAAAAAAATCATACAAACATCCTCACATAGACTACAAAAACAACCATTATTAAAAAAAAAGAAAAATACACATAAGACATTATACAAAGTAAATATCATTTATTATTATTTTTTATTTTTTAAAATATAGAAGAAAATATTTTTTGATTATTAACTCTACTAATTTAAGATTAATCTTTGCAACCATTAATAACAATAATAAATTTTAAAACCTAATAAAGCATATATCTTATTTTTTTAGAAATCTATGTACTTGTCATAACTATTTCTATAGAAAAAATTTATACACAATTTTAAAAGTTTTGTATCAAGAAATAAAATAATTTGATAAAATCTTTGGCTCAGATGGCTTTACTATAAAATAATTGAAGGTATTTTTAATGTTTTTGTTACAACAGTTAAGAATAGTAAATACTTATAAAATAAGACTACAATCTAATTATATTAAAGTATATATCTTTGAAGAAAAAATCTTAAATATTATTTGAACAACCACAATATATTGGTAAAGAATAAAAATAGAATTATGAATTTTTTATGCTTTGAAATTGCAATTTCTTTTGTTTTATTAAAATTCAAAAATAAAAATATATTAATGAATTGATGTTATTTTTATAGGTCACTAATAATAAAACAACTACCACCTTTATGATTAAATATTAGTAAATCATAACTTCCTACTATGCTACACAAATTTAATCTTTTATCACATATTAAAAAATAAATAAAAATCATGTTGTAAATAATATTAACCAAGGACATAAAATTTATATTAGATATTTACAAAGTTAAAAGAAATATCTAAGATTCAAAAAGTAATATTGATTATTTTATATTACTGTAGTGAATATCATATTTGAAAGCTATTTATATGAAGACTACTTTGGAAGAATAACTTCTAAATTAGAGATTAAATTTTATCCATGATATTAGGTCAATTGTTTCCTACCAATTGCTTTAAGGCAATGGGCAAGTAGAAGGCAACCTAGTTTTTGAATAAATAACTTAATAATTCAATTCAAACTAAGTAGTACTTAGATTGATTAGAGTAGAAAGGGAAGAGTCTTAAGCTTAACAAGTCTTGGATTGGAATTTCACTATCAACATGAACAATATACTTTGAAACAATTTTTAGATTTAGAAGATCAAAATATGCATAAGCTTTCTGAGAATATCTCCTTGGATTGAGCTGTTTTGGGCCATCTATGCCTCCTACCTTGGACTATTAGGCTCTAGTTGGCCATTTATGGCTCTCCCCATATGTTCAACTCTCAATTATTAGCACAATAAAACTTTTAGACCTTTCTGAGGCGTCATTTGAATGAACTTGAATTTTAAACCAATTTCAAATATTCATCTTGCTTTGTGCCCATCTAGGGGTTCATTATCCATGGCCCATTAAATCTCCAATCTCAAGCAAACAAAAAATCAAAAAAAACTTGAACTTTGTTTTACAATCCTACATTTTATCGTACTTGCTGAGATACTACAGCACCCCAATTACCGCTCATGAAGAATACTCATCAAGCTCTCAATATCCACTTTGAACTGTTTATCTAAGTCGACACAAACATGTTACATCCCCAATTCTTGACCTAAACATTTCCTCAATGTTCTTTCAAAAGTTCTACTATTGACTCAAAACAAATTGCATTAATTTTCTTCGGCATAGATTCAAGTAGGTAGTTACCCACCTCGATAATCTGTCCAGCCTGAATGGCCAAGTTTGAAGAGTAGCAAAATTGTTGCACCAACTTCATGTGGATTCAGATTTCGCGTTTTGTAAAGAGTTTTGATTATTGAAGAAATGTTAAGCCTTGAGGCAATGTTATTCTGCAGAGGGAAAGATTTCGTAAGGCATGGGTGCCGCAATCCAGACGAAAATGTGCAACAGTGGGCATATTCTATCACACCCTCCTGACATGATAATTTAGTTTTACTTCGCGACATCTGAGCCCAGTAATCGCTCTCGTTACGGTGCTACTATAAGACAGAATGCCAATTGAAGGCTATTCAAAGTTATTTAAGGCTCAACGAAAGTCGTATTGAACTGTATTCAACTCAATAATAAGAAACTACCACTTCAAGACTCAAAACAACAAACGTAAGTCAGAATGTATCAGAAAGTTTTTAAACAAAAGGGTCCTCAAATCAGGACCAGAAGCACATCCAATATGCTATTATACAAGAGCCCATCAAGGTGGTGGCCTAAATCAATTGTGGTATACTGAAAAACTTTAAGCCAGCAAAGCAAAGAACTGGTAGCGATCCAGCTCCTCACGTCAAATCCAGTAGCTCCCTAAGAGGCATTGGTTGTTGGCAGGAGTCGATAACCTCTGTAATAGCTGCATGTGTTTCAGGACTGAGCATGTTCAATGACATATGAAATGCCTGTAAAACGGAAAACAGAAGGCAAATAGAATGTTCCATCAGTACTTGTTATTCTGTACGAAAGAATATCTGCCTGCTGCAAAACCCAAAGCATACTAGAAGACAATAGGAAGGCCAATTTTTTCTGATCATCAGCTCGATCAATAAGACGATGACCTTTCCCTTGTGATACATAAACTTCAATTCTTATGCGTCGGCTACACAAATTGATATACTCCAGCACAGAAATGTCACGAGCCAATAATGATAACGGAAACAGTAGAAACCCGACACATACCAAAAACCTCTCCATGACAGGTACCAAAGAGCTCAGGTTATCTCCAGGTAAGCGTTGAGCGATTGCCAAGCGAACAACATCACTGCAACCACCAGTAATAAACAACGATGCCTTTCTTAGTGTAAAGCAGGAAAAGGAATGCTGAGAATAAACACATAAAATCCACGGTTCTAAGAAGCCTAAGCAAAGTTTAGCTTTAAGAGGAATATACGAAATACCTCTCCAGAGATAAGAATGCCAGCAATACTGCTGTATAAGCCTCGACAATCATGTCCTCTGCTTCTCGCTCCCCTTCTAAGATATTCACTTCCTCATCCACCTGTGGGATTTACAACAAGCGACCGCATAGCATTTTAAAATCTTCAATAGCCAATTCATTAATGCATATGATTTACTTTGAACATTAGTATGGTTCTGGGCAAGCTAAAGTAATTGAGAATAAAAACATTAGACTTCTCAAACATGAATATTCATCTCTCTAATAACATTAACTATTCTAATAAAGAAAGAACTTAGTAAGTTTCCCTAACTACCAATAACATCTTACCCTAAATATGTGGAACCGTGCAACTTAATGTTAAGCCAAGAACTACAGCCTTAGATTCAATCCCTACTAAGTGGAGTAACCCCAACATAGAATTTGAAGACCACGAAATTATCGAGCTAATAACCTGCCAGGAATGCATAATTCAAAAGCATCGACACTATATTCCTCACACTAAATAGCGTGCATACCTCTGACAATTTCTCGTCGATGGCTTCTGCTGCCTCTCCAGCTCCTTGCTTGCTTAAGAACAAAGCGCAAAGCAAGGAAATCATGCCATAGTTGCTTGAAAATCTTCCTCTTTTTGCGGCAATGTGTGGAGGCAAATCTACATCCAAGGTTGCTAAGCGACCCCTGTATAATCCACACACAATGCTAAGCACAAGGGAACCGATATTATCTTTATAAGTTGCAAACATAGAACATAACATATTTTCAGACAATTTATTTTACACCAAGCTGCTGATGACACTTTGAGTGCAAAACAGACAATCGGAATGGAAAAATGAGGCCAACCTGTTTATTTCATCCCTCTCAACGAGGTTACACAAAACGCCCAGGGCCACCACCACCATCTCCAAATCTTGATCTGTGTCACTACCTTTTCCTTTCAACTTATCATAAGTTGTAGAACCTACTCCTTGTAATGTGTCAAATGAGGGTTTAGGAAAATACGCCACCAAGAGTGTAGCAATTGGATCCAGACCTCCGCAATTTGCTACTTGTCGACAACCGACTGGATTGTTATTTGTAAGATTCATAAGAACCTAACGGTTACCCCAAAACAGTGATTAGAGTTAATAAATAAATAAAATAGGTTGAGATGTGTCGACATATGAACAGATATGACACTAAAAATCACACAAAAAAATATATTCACCGACATATTAACCAATTTGGTTGTCTCGTACTTACCTTGGCAGCAGACAACAAACATTCAGCCAAATGAGGACTGGGCTCTCTGTAATCTTCTGAAGTAGTTACCAATGCTGCAGAACCTTGGCTATCAGATGGTTCTCTACGCCCGCTAGTTTTAGCTGTGTCACTTGCCTCCTCTACTTTGCCCAGTTTCCTTCCTTTCTTTTTGCTTGCCATTCCAGATTCAAAGTCGAATTCATCATCATCAAATGCAAATGGATCCTGCGAATCGCTCCTGGAAGAGCTTTCTTTTCGCTTCAGAACTAAGCTTTCTGATGAAGGCTTTGCCTCCTGTGCAGCAGATGACGAGGTACCAGATATTCGTAGTAATGTTCTAGAAACAAGAGTTTCTGGAGGAGCTGACTTCTGCTTGAAAAGTGAACTTTCAAAGCCACAGGCTTCAGTACCGCTACCACAAGGCTGCCTTGTATGCGCTTCTGACTTGAGCCTCAAAAGAGCTTTACCTGGCCCCCTCTTGCTGCCTTCATTGAAGACACTCTTGCTGGGACCCCCGAAGGCTGCAAGCAAGAACATCAGTGAAGCCCTAATTAAGGTTGGCCAAAAGAACTAAACCAAAAGCTCTGAATGATGTATTCTATGAACACCTGAAATATGGAATGGACGAACATTGCATTATTGATGCTTACACTTGATGCTTGACGAGGCGGTCTTGTCCACCACCTTCTCCGCTTTCATGCAATCTTTTGCGCCATTTTTATCCATACTGCATTTGTCGCGAACTTCTTTCCTTTCCTTATAGCAATCAGCAAGCTCTGTTTACAAGAAAAACTCCCTTACTACAGACCTTACGACAGGAGCAACATCACAAATTCCAGCTCTAATGTTCTGAGACAGGAAAGTATTCTCCTCGAGAAACAAAGCGAAGATAGAAACTTACCGGACAACAACTTGATAGTGGTGATGATGAGGGCAATAAAAGTATCTGGAGCGTCTTTGCTGACTCGAGGCAACCTCAATTCCAACAAGTGTCTCTGCATGTTGCAATGAAAATTTTAAGTCTGTAGGACATTACCAGAGGATAACCCCAGCATATATTTACGCAATGAAGAACTTCTGAAAAAAACCACACCTGAATTGACATTTACTTGCTTAACACAGTTGAAATGCACGACTTAATATTAATCCAATCCAGAAAATCTCGTGGATACAAAGAAGAAGAAGAAAAGGAAAAAGAAAAAGAAAAAAGAAAAAAAAGGAGAGAAATGAAAGATCTGAGGGTTACCTTGCGGCATGCTGAATTCCACACTCTATCTTAAGTTAATCCATTTCATGAAAAATTAACTACTGTAAACATTGTCGTCCAAAATTTACCTGATTTTGTTCGCTGAGAAAAGTCACATTTTCCATTACAACGAGACACCTCAAGAGCATACCAACTCCACCATTTTTCTCACATTTATCGAGTGCTGTGAAGTACTTGCTCTTACTACCCCCTGCTGTCTCCTCAGCCTCCACCGCTTCCTGTAATGTATTGCAACTCAGAGCACCATCAAAACATCATTTCCAAATAGTCATGTTTTTTCAACTCTTCCAAGGCACTTCACAACCCTAGTACTTACACTGAAGTATGAACACCTCTGATTTAAACATCGTTTCTTCATTTTCCCATGTGAGGAACCAAAATTCAAGATGGTGATATTGCTTTACCCGTATGTTTCTTAGGCAACCAGCAGCTAGGTCACAAATGGTATCAAGACCTCCAAGCTCGCGAAGTCTCTCTTTGAAAAACCCCCCCATTCTTCGTGCAGCCCCGGAATTATCTGCAAAATCGGCATCATAATGGATAAAACAATGAAATACTACAAATGCGACAATGACCTACCTGATAAAGCAAAAACGAGGTGCAGGGATAGAGAAAGTCACTAAACAACTGTTTGGCCACTAAATGACTACAGAGATACAATAAGTCCTCACAAAGCCCGAAAGAGGATATGTATGATTTATCGAAAGAAATAGTCAAGCTAAACTTATTGTATTCAAAACATGGAATAAAGTATACACATAAAGTTTTTATCAAGACATACCACCATACATCCAAAAGGGTTAACACATTAGGTCACTCAAAGGTCTCATTTACTACAACATCTATTCCGTGGCACCAGTTCAGATATGATTTACCGTCAAGCACAACAGGAGAGATGCATGCTTTCTCAACTGTCAATAATGCAAGCCACTTCGATGAAATCTCTTGTCCAAGAAGAAATCCACTTTCAGAATCTTTGTTCAAATAGCTAAAAGGATTTTTCTCGTCTTTTGCGAACAGCTGATGTACTTCAGCGACAACAGCAGCTCCACTTTTATCAACACCCGAGCCTGAAATACCGATTTTCGATCTGAATCCAAGCTCTGACAGCTTACTGCCACCTGTCGATGAAGTTTTTTTCACAGGCCGAGAAAGAGATGAACCTAGTAGTCCCATTAGGAATCTCACACATGCTGCAGAATCGAAAAGTTCCTCATTCTGACCCTGTTGCACCCATAAGTAGGTCACAACTGTGAATTCATAATGAAGATAAGCACTTCAAGTTACATCGGTTGATAACAGATGACAGAAAAAACTATAAAGGATGGCATAATTCATTGCTAAAGATTAACCCCCCGAGGAAGAGAGATTGCTTAACAATATTTCACACTACTCATAAAAAAAATTGACATTTATCTCATAAGGTCAGAAAGAGACTACAGTTCAACATGATCCAAATAAATATAGGCTTCGAACTCCAAATATGAACACTGTGGATGTTCAACCTTACATCAAGAGCAAGAAAGTACAAAACCGCAGCTGCTGCCAGAGCCAAAGGAGGGTCATCCAACGGAAGAGCCACCACTGATTCGAAGAGGGGCTTCACCAACCTGCGAAAATACATGCAAAACACATGCTCAACGATTGACCTCGTCAACCCACACCACATCCAGGTTTGATAGCACTCGGAAAGTTAAAAATAAAATTGGAAGTACCTGCGACAAAAGTATAACCCCCTGATCAACTGAGACTCACGAAATAGTTCAGCAAAGTCCTCGCTATAGCTTAGAGTTTTGCTCAAACACGAATGGATTGTACACTATCAAGTATGGCAGATCGTACCCATGAGTTCTTAGAAGTCGTCGCCGCTGCATTGAACCACATAACGACAGAAGAGACTGGAGACTAGCCCGTTGAACACGCAAAGGTTGTCCAGGCTTCAATCCATCCAAAGCAAAATTAGCTTCATCGGTGTGTGCCATGAGCTCTCCAGATTCTTGTACTTCTAGCAAAGTTGCCGTTGCTGGAGTGGTACGTCCCCAGCTAATTGAAGAGATGCCCGATCCACCCCATTCAGTTCTGTGGTTTGAAACTCTGTTAACTGCTTGATCACCATCCAGAGCCAACTTCTCCATAAACTCGTCGCCATTCAGATCTTGACTGTCCTGGGAATTAAGCAATGGTACGTTTGTAACTACACCCCCATTCTCCATCTGTCTGCTAGGCCATGTAGGCGGTCGTGGCCTTGCAAACCCAGGGACAGTACCCTCGTCCGGTAAACTGTCGGATTGCCACAAGCACGATTCCTGAGGGAAAAACCATCATCTATGAATCCGGAATACTCAGAGGATGTTAACTTTATCTGAGGACTTGACGTACAACCCGAGAAATTAACTTGATTAAAGAGAGAAATGAAGTGATATACCCAAAAATACAAGAATGAAATCTCGTAGGAGCAAAGATCTTCCCGACGGAATCGAGAAGCAATAGATGGAGCTCGAAAGGTGCTAAGTGGAATTAGATTCTAGCAACATATTAACGCAACATAATAAAATGCCCTGTGAATCTCAAAAGGTTAACGGTTGCTTTGATCGGCACCTGAGAGGACGGGAACGTCTCGTGAGACAGTGGAAGCGTCTCCTGCGAGCTACTCCATGGAGAGTCTTGAGATTGGGAGCCCTCGCCTCCGAGTGCGCCATCGGATACACTGCGTCCACTCCGACGTCGTTGATACGTTCTCACAATCATCCTACTAAATCAAAATTCCACGCTTCTTCCCTCGTATCTTAACGTGGAAACAAACCTCGACTGGACCACGTCGGTAATGCTAAAGTATGTCGTTAAAGTGTTCCAAAATATACCAATACGATACGGGCGGTACGAATGTTTGTACTCCCAAATTCATCACGACTAGTCTCCTTCTTGCTCCATGAAATGTCGGAACCAATTCAAAGACGCTTCACATTTAATACCCTTGACAATGTAAACTGATGAAGGCGCGAAGGAGAAGCATAAGCACTGCAATTTTCAGTCCGCTCCCATTACTGCTAGCCCTGACAACTCCAGTTAGGTGCAATTACACTAAGATGTGCTCCAGCTGTCCGATTTAACAAGCGAAATGTACTCAAGCTGCTCAAGCGAGGAACAAAATAATTATCAGTGGACACGCATCCCCCTGTAGCCTGCATGAATGGCGTCGGTTACATTACTTAGAACACGTTAACATCTTACATGTTGCTTCTTAAATCCGATACTCTGAAGCACTCATGTTCCAATGAAGCACTACACCCTAAGCTTCATTAATCAAACCAATCTCGAACGCAGTACTTCTTCGCTGCCAATTCTCTCAGTCGCAAAACACGCTAAATTAGTTGCAATACGTCAAAAATGAAGCTGGGAATCATAAGTCTCTATTTCAGTGACCATAAAACACCTCAATCACTTCCACAACCAAACGTTCTGATCAAAACCTCACCACCTCTGGGGGCGCACTTTTGCTAGAATCTCAAATATATATCACAAAAATAAATAAATAAAATAAGGGGGGGGGGGTAGAGAGAGAAATCCCGCCGCAATCCACATAGCAATAAATGACAGTAAAATCTCAAGACTCACGGCGCCGCACCATGTGTAACATAACCTAGCCCACGCACAGCGATACGAACGCCTCCCATTCCACAGCATCCAGAAACACAGAGAAATCGCAAACTGACCTGCCTTAGAAAAAACCTCCTAAGCAGCGAACGATCAAGCAAGGACAAGGAAACTAACAGTAGGGGAAAGGGGGAGAAGGGAGGGGGGGAGGGAGGGTTAGAAGCTGGAAGCGGAGGGGTGAAGAGCTTTCGATTTGAAAAGACCGCGCTGGAAAGAACAGAAACAGGGGATTGAGGTGGAAGCAGAGACAGGGAAGAGAGTCAGCGAAGGAAAGGGGGAGGGCGGGGAGGAAGGGAGAAGAGAGAGGGGGGGAGGGAGACGAAAGCTGTGAAAAGTAAAGGAAAAGGAAAACCTGGATGACAACCATGTTCATGATGGCGCCACTTCACATTCCATGTCCCATGGCCCCATGCCCCCCCCTCCTCTCCATGGATCCCCCCTTTCATTCATCCATCCATCCTCCGTCTTCTCGTTTCTCAACCTCATTCATTCATCCATCCATCCTCCGTCTTCTCGTTTCTCAACCTCATTCATTCATCATCCGTCTACTCGTTGCTCCCCTTCGTTCGTTCATCCTCCGTATTCTCGTTGCTCAACTGCATTCGTCCATCTTCAGTCTTTCTGTTTTATTTTTAAAGTATTCTTTTTTGTAGAAAAAATCAAAAAGTAGATGGTTATTGAAACTCTATGAACACAATTTTTTGATTTAGACAACAAATTTTTATTGACAAGACATGTAATACATTGTATTGTTGTCTTGTGAATAAAAATTATGACCAATTTCTATTTAAATTTTTATGTAAAAAGATAAACTAACTTATAATTATTTAGAAATACTTACTCAAAAACTGAACTCAAAACTATCATTTTTTTACAATTTTTTTGTTTTTTTTTTTTTTGTTCTTTTAAATTTTTTTTTCGCAGAGTTGTATTTATTATACAAGATGAATCTACAAAAGAAAAAAATCTCCTTAAAATAACATATAATAAGGTTTTAAGAATAACTTTAATTACAACATAAATTTTATAAGTTAAAGATGAATATTTTGAACTTTGTTTTTGGAGAAGAATTTGGCATCAAATAATGATATAATAACTAATATTTTAAAAAATTGTGTTTTAAGTAGTTCAAGAAGGGATAATCATTTTTTTATTTTATAATGCTATAAATTATTAGAATAAGTAGTGTAGATTCAATTATTTAGAATATATAATCTAAGAATAATGGAGCAAATTAAGAATAAAACATCTTGAGTCTTAAAAAGAAAAAGAATATCTAATGAATATATCTAATGAAAAAAATATACAAAAATATCTAATGAATTCTATCATAATTATAATACTTTTTAGAAAATGTAATATATCCAAATTTTGATATAATAAAAAGTACTTTATAAAAAATCTCAAAGTATTATTATATGTTGTTAGAGATAATAAATAGATAAATAAATAAATACCAATGTTTGAAAAATAGTAAAAACAAACTAAATATTTTTTCATATGTGCATGCAAAGAACATATTATATTATATAAAACAACTTGGGTATAAGACAAAGAGACAAATAAGAGAACATGGGGAACATAGGAGCACGGGGCTTTTTGAGGCCCCATAATTTGGAAGAAGCCACTATCAACTGCTATGAAAAGGGTAACATGGGAACATAGGGACCTTTTATGTGCCCAATGACATGGGTTTCCACTAGTGTGTATATATATATATATATATATATATATTCACATCTCAATATGTGAATATATATTTGAAGGAAAAGTTTAACATTTTTATATAACTTTATAGATTTCAAGAAATCAATTATTAAGTCATTAATTCACTCAATATTTGCTTACAACACCATTTTTGTTGTTTAAGTTTCAAGAAGTTTCTCATTTAAGTCCCAAGAAGTTGACTAATTTTTTTTCATAGAAATGTAAAAACAGTTAGTTATATATTTACTTATTTACAAGCAAAAATAAGAAAATAAACATTTTAGAGAAAACTATATTTTTGAATACATAAAAGGAAATTGTGGCCTTCTGTTTTCATTCTTTTTTCTTTTCTTTTTTCTCTCTTTCTTGACTTAAGTATTATACAATACAACAGGTCAAATTCAACATGTTGTAATAAATACACATCAGAACATTCTTAGGGTATCATCAAGAGTACTTTATTTTATTTTAAAATGTGTGTAAAGTGTTTAAAAACGAATTGAGAAATATTATATTAATTTATGCTCTTTTATGTATGTAATAATGATAATAATAATAATAATAATAATAATACTAGAAACAAAAGGTAATTTGATGTACACTAGTTTTAAAAGAGAGACATGTTGCACGAAACCATGAAACTGGCAATAACAAATCACAACATAATCACTCCATTATATATCTATATATATATATATATATACATATGGAGAATTTACATCAAGGGGTGCACTCATAGAAATAATTACAAGTAGGCTCACAAATCAAAAAAATAAATTTCAAAGAGAGGCACAATTCTCTTCCTTGCTTCTCCTCGCTTGCCATGATTTGCCACAATTTGTCATTGCTGCTTCTCTTTGCATGGTCCAATAAGCTCAAGGTCAAGCTCAAGATCACTAGCAATGAAACAAGGAGATCAAGTAATGACAACTCATGACAAATTGGTTGTGGAACTATGTCCTCCACAGTCAAGGATGATGATGGTGCTATTGCAAGCTGTTTTGTCCAAGTCTCTACTTCCTACCAATTTAGAGCCAATGGTGATAGGTTGTCTCCATCCAAAATAAAACTAGCAAGACAATTTGCCTTCTCACTTGTGGTGAAACTAAGTCAAAAACCAAACTATGTGCTCAAAATGTGGCTGAAAGGGGCCACAATTTCCCTATTTACAATTGGTGATGTTGAGCATGATGATTATCAACCCTTGTTGGTTACTTTTGCTTGTTGGACCACACAAGGAGAGGCAACAATGACAAACAATGCATCTCTTTGTAGTTATTTTCAATTTGTGCTCCTACTTATAATTATTTTTGTAGGTAAAACTTTAGAAGTAAATTTTCATATATATATATATATATATATAATTCTGTGTTGTTGAGCACTCACTGCAATCTTTGGCACATCCATACTCCTTTGTTTCCTTGTTTCATAGTTTCCATGTCCCTACATTTGCTCACATCTATGTTCAATGGTTTCCTTGTCTCTATATTCTCTAGTTCCCATCTTTCCACATTTCTTTGTTTCTATGTTCTTTGATTCCTATGTTCTCTTGATTCCACGTTCTCTTAACATTCTTCAAGTCCCCTTCTTTATGGCCAATCAAAATACTTTTTTGTTTCTTTGTGTTATACCCAAGTTGTCTTATAGAGTAAATAAATAAATATATATATATATATACATATATTCAAAGTTGTTTTGTACATACATCCTGGTGTGCTCAGAAACATCAAAGGCGGCATGATGTCTTGGTGGAAAGTTGATAACTCTTGATCTATTGTGTGATACCTGCCATGTCCATAGTATTAACCTCAACAAAGTTTGGATTTTATCAACCCCAATTAGGATGCTTCTTTGTCTCTTTATGTTATACCCAAGTTGTCTTACATAATATAATAGATAGTTGAAATCATTGTCATTAAAATTTAAATATTCTCTTCCTCAGATTTGTACAAAGATCTTGTATATCATATAGCAAAATCTGTAGCAAATTTTGTATTTTTTTTATGTAGAATATTAAAATGCTACATTTAACACAAAAAAAAGATTCATGCTGTACGTGTGTTCCAAAAGAGAAGGCATTAGTTTATATGGGTACTAACATCGAACCTGCAATAAATCGTACCCTACCACACAGTTCGTTGGGTAGGGGCAGAATGGGTGGATCAACACTTTTCAACCGTGCACGCAACGGTGCGCGAAACCAAGCATGGAGCGACGGCACGGCCATGCCACATTCTTGAGTTAGGGTTTGGCCACAGGCGCGCTCCGGGAGGGCCTGGCTCGAGGGATCGATCGAAGTCGACATCTACTCGCAGTGGGTGCAATTTTGGGATAGTGTGGAGCTATGGGTGGGACGTTGGCGTTGCGATCCTGCTTAGCGGTGGTGGGCTTGGTGCTTCTGTGGGGATGCGGTGCACAAGCTGTTCAGTTCGAGGTTAGCGCTCGAACTACCAAATGCATCGCGGAGGAGATTCAGAACAACGTGGTTGTGATCGCGGATTATAAGATCGTGCATAGCGATGAGTCGCATACGATCACTGTGAAGGTGGGTGGGTAGCTACAGCCAGGGATCTCGTCTATTGTTTCGTTGTGTGTGTGTGGTGGTCGTTGGTTTGAGAGATCATCGGAACTCGGTACTGAAGGATGTCATCTGCGAAGAGAATGGGTGGTGTGGTCTGTGTTGGGGAGTTTGTTTGATTTTGACGCCTGATATCTTGATGGTCATGATGTATTTTCATTTCTTTTTGTTTATCTGAAAATAAACGGTATATATTTAAAGTCAGCCGTGGTTTAGTTGTCTTGCAGATGAATTTTTCCTGATAAAGATGAGAGTTTTAGGACATGTATGAGAATTCAGGGTGAATTTTAGTTGGTAACGATGACCACCACCACCAAATTTGGTTGAGATGCTGTAGGAACTCTTTTTACTTTTCACCTTCATGTGTGGTCAGCTCTTGAAGAGAAAAAAGTTGTGAAGCTCGTTCATTATTTAAAAGTGGGTTTCTATACTGTCTATGCATGTTAACATACGTGCGACTTGTGGTTGTGATTTACAGCAGGCTACTTCTGTTTTACGTGTTGCTGAAACGGAGGTGAATTTGATGAATGTGCTGTTGTAATGTGCAGGTAACCTCACCGTATGGAAATCAATTGCACTACCAGGAGAATGTCAAGTCGGGCCAGTTCGCATTTACAACTTCGGAGACGGGCAATTTTATGGCCTGCTTTTGGATGCTGAATGCACCTGCCACAGCGGTTGCCAATGTTGCTCTTGATTGGAAGACAGGAGTCCATGCCAAAGATTGGGCGTCTATTGCGAAGAAGGACAAGCTTGATGTATTCCCTACAAACCTCTTCTCCCAGTATTACAAGTCTAACTTTAAATTGAGCTTTAATTTTTTGGAATTGTTGTGCGATTTCAAACTGAGATTGTAGTATATGGTCGAGCAGGTGGCAGTCTATGTTCATCAAGATTCCTACCTAGGCATTTCTTTTATCAGTTTTGATATGAATCGCGTACTTAGTTTCATGTTTACTTTCTTTGAAGTGCTGCTCTGCGCTTCTGATCTTAGTTTAAGTATGTTTACAACCAATTAATGCAGTTTCTTCTCCTTATCGCAGGGAATGGAGCTTGAGTTGAGAAAGCTGGAAGAAGCTGTAAATTCAATACACAGTGAGATGCTGTATTTGAGAGAGAGGTATTGTCGGCACTGTTTGCACTGTCTGCGTTTTACAGCACGTAAACGAAGTTAGATATTGAAAGCTTGTGATAATGGTTTAATTATTTTAATTTTTGAGTTCTCTTCTTCCTGTGTTTGTATCCTTGACTATGTTGTCGTTAATGATGAGTGTTTGTGACAATTGCAGGGAAGCAGAGATGCGGAACTTGAACGAATTGACGAACTCAAGAGTAGCATGGTTTGGGATCATGTCCCTCCTTGTGTGCCTAGGAGTAGCAGGATGGCAGTTGTGGCATTTGAAGTCATTTTTTGAGAGGAAAAAGCTTTTGTAGGTTTCGTGACTTGCGGATAAGTTTCTCTGCCTTCAGTTCTCTGTTCAAAAGTAAAGTTCAATTGTCATGAGGGGAAAAGGTGTACGTCTGCAAGATGGACGTGGCTGGACACATCCTTAGCTGTTCCTGTCGACACCTTTGATGGTTTTTGCGCGCCAAAAGAAATTCCTCACGGCAACTTGTACACATATTTTGGAGATAGAGTTGAGAAGAGAAGAAACGCTCTTCTCTGCTTCAAGGTTTTGATTGGGATGGTATTATCTCAATTAAAAAGCTCTCCAGGTTCACACTATCTGGTCTTCTCGTAACTTGGGGGTTCTGCATTTAGCAACCTGACAATTGCTAATTCTATGGGTTTTTCTTTGCCCAGCTATGCCTCAAATCAAATTTGTAGGGGAACCTAGATTACTTTTTCAAACGCAGATTTGGGTGGAAACTTGGAGAATGTTTCCCAAGTGTGCCATATGACAATAATGTTCGGTAAATTGGAAAACGAGTTAATGCTGCATTGTCTCGTGACATAAAAATTTCTAAGTTCCAACTATGCCATCTCTTACTAAGATGTCACCTGCATGAGCGTTAAACACTTGTTCCACAAGAACTAGCAAGATTCAGAGGGATCGATGAATTTCACCTTGTAAAATTCTTTTGGTTATCTACTTCAGGTGCAGGCCTGCATCAAGCGTCAAGGAAATTAGGATACCTTCAATGCCTGCGCAGCCCTAGTTTGGGTGCTTTCTGGACGTTGATCATCGTCATCTCCTATGTTGCATTTCTGGTTAGCGGTTTGACGACTATTGAATGCAGGTGTCTCTAAAGACCTTCTCTACGTAGTACCAGCATTTGTCTGTAATCCAAGATTGCATGTTGAAGTTTCGTTGGAGAAATATGGGACTTAGATGATGTCTGATGCTTTACAACTCGTAGGCTGCTAGTCCTCGATCCTACTTCAGAATTTGTTTCACATCTTAAATGGAACTCGATTACTGGTCGCTGCCCCAGAACAATACTTGCCGTTGAAAGAAGCTACGCTCGAGCTGACTCCGATCGCTTGCTCTTTGAATCCACCAATTCAGAGCCTCCAGCATTTTATCCTGTCAAGCACTTCGGGAGGTAGCTTACGTCTTAGTGCAGAGGTTAAATTGAATGCTCGCCACGCAGGCAGTATCAGCGTCACAAATTCTGGTTCAATCAATATGGTGTTCAATTCATTTTCTAAGCATGTCGTTAGGTTCCCATCTTCAACTTCTCACAAGTTTTGCATTTCATGTTCTTGCCAAGAAGTTTGAAGCAAATGAGGGGTTTTTGGATTGAACTCAAAATATTAGGAAACATCTCTATGAGGACCTATCACAACTTTCTTCAATCGAAATCGGTTACTCAAACCAAGGAGTTCCGTTAAGATGTTCTAAGTTGGGCGAATTTCGTGTGGTCGATGCAAGTCTGCAGTAACATTCTGGTCGAAGTTGTGTGGTTTTCAGACAAGAATTTCAACCCTGCAAATCTCAAAGTGTCAACCAGCGTTGATTTCGGCTCCAAGGCAAGCATTGAAAAATAAAACGTGCAGGAGCATACTCCGGTTTACGAAGGAGAATAGTAACAGTAAATAGTCATAATCCAATAACGATGAAAAAGATTGTTACGAAACTCGTATGAACAATTTGAAAGATCACAGACGTTGAGAAAGTTCCCAACCTTGCAGTTGATGCTGCTCTCTGTTAAGTCCATTTTTTATTTTTTATTTTTTTAATTCTGGCCTAAAATAAGTGTTGAAGTGAATGATGCGCTGTGGTTGAGACTCCAGCAGCTTGTGATCATCAACGGGGGAGAAATTGACATGTGAAAGGTCCAATGCATGACATATTCTGCAAGTTGGGCTGCAATGCGTAAGTGTGCTGCAACCATCCTATAATTGGACCTTGTTACTTCTCGACTTTATGTTGGATGCTGGATCCAATCAGCCTGTGAAAATTTCTCGGCATGATCCGTGACATTGACGGGGTTCTCTAGTTCCCACACATATTATGTCAATTTCTTGAGGTGATTTACCGTCTCTGAGACTAATTCTGAAGCTTTCGCTCGATCATGGGAAGTGAAATGCAGCATCGATCATGATCTCTAGTAACCACACAAATATCTGAGTGCCCCCAAATTGATGGCACATGAAGACTTTAAACGAATCCGAGTATTGCTTAGTATTTTTCCTTTGCTGTTGCAAGTGGGATGAATGGGTGGGATGTTGCGAGCGACTGCTGTAGAATAGTCGAACCAGCAGCCTTGAACTACACCTGCACGAGTAGACGCAAGATCTGCCCGCTTCTCAGCTACTTGTGAATGCAAGAGTAGTGTGTAAAAGCCCTTGAGAGGACAGGGCTTCAACAAAGCCGAGCTCAATTCTATTGATTATTAGAAACTAGACCAAATATCTTAACAGCAGTTACGTGCTGAAAACTATTCTCAAGACAGATTGTTATAACCCTGACTCGAGTGCATTTCTGACAAAAACCTCCTTCACTTGGTTTGTGCACGTTTGCAACAGAGAGGTTTTGCACGACCTCATTTGAACATTCGCTCGATATGCCTGTTGCAACTACACCTTCAGGGTCTTATTTTGTGCTCTGTGCTCAGCCAATAAGAACTCCAGCTGTTGTTGCTCGAAGTTCTCCTGGTCGACCAGCTTAGCCCCTAAGGCTTTGAACCTTTCCATCTAATTATCTTGCTTCACTACTTCATTCCCAGAACACATTTGACCCACGAAGCAATCACTATGGTGCATAACATTGACAAATATTCTTGTCTACGTAATCGTCAGATTGTAGAATAAAAGGTCACAGACACAGGACCTGATTTAAGCAATTCTTAAACAAGAGTAGCTCTATTTTTTTTCCCACAATTTATTTCTAATCCCTGCCTGTTTCCGTCTCTGCTTCTTTTGATTCTTGTACATTCGCCATCATCTCCATGTCACTGTTGCCTTGCTGAGTTTCACCATGAATTCTAGCGATGGTTGTCCACTGGAGACTTTTAAAAATAGTGAAATGTGTATTCCAAATATCATGCATCGGGATGTCCGCTAAGCTACGCTGTGAGGTTGTTTTTCACTTTCTGCACGGTGTGAACTCGTTTATTTTGAGCTTTGCGATTGCATTTTTGGTACATGTTTGTGTTTGTTCTCACAACCCAGCTGCCAATGACTTGTTTGTCATGAATAATACTTATCACTTTGCAACATCGGTACAATTTGAAGGCGAGATTTGACCCAGAAGAGTGAGTTTTGCTGTTAAGGTTTGATGCAGTAGCTCTCTTGAAGTATGCGCCATCTATTAACTCACAAATATTATTCTAAGATGTATTTGTCATTTTGTCCCATGTTCAACAAAAAGAGTGGTATTTCATCATGTGAGTCAAATATGTTGGTGTTTGTTTGCTGTAAATGTGATAATAATAACACCTTTTACTAGTTGAATTATATATGCACTATTGTGTATTAGCAAACAAGTAAAAAAATAACCATCTTTTAAAGATTTTTTTTCTTCTTGTTAGACATTGAAAATACAATTAGATTTCCATGAATTTTTGGTATTATGGATAGTGTGTATTACATTTTGTACAACATGTTGGTTTGTATTACAAAAAAAAAAAAAAAATGAAAATAATGTGCATAATTTTAATAGCCATATTAACAAAAGAGTTTATCCAAAAATGCAAAGACAATACATAAAAAGATTAAGGTGTATAATAATAATAATTATAATAATGTATTGGATTAAAAATAAGACTGAATATTTTTATATATTTTAAAATAAAAAATATCATATTTTCTTAATATTAAGAATGATTTAAAATTTAATTTAATTTAATTTTTTTAATATGATTAGTAGATTAATTAGTCAAATAAAAATATAATCATAAACTTTAGTATTTTAAGATTGTTAAGATTTGTTAATTTTTTTAGAATTTAAGATTAAAGTAATTATTGATAACATTAACTTCCAGGACTCTTCGGTTTGATTTAATTGTACTATATTCAAGATTTTTTTTAAAAAATTTTACTGGATGAATTTTTAATGCTCTATTATAAATCTACTTGTGAAGTTGTTGATTATGATAATTTTACAATATTATTTTTAGAGTTGTTTAGAATAAACCAAGATCTCAATTCATCAACATTCATAAAAATGAAACAAACAAAGATAACAATTCACACAATTTACAAAATTAAATTAAATTATTTTATTTATTTTATTTTTAGAAATATTTTAATGAAATAAATAAGTGTATAAAAGATTGTTCATTCTAATATCTTCAAATATAAAGGAAAATGTTTGAAGTTCCATGCAATTCTCAAGGAAAATGTTTGAAGTTCCATGCAATTCTCATCATGAAGTGATGAAAGAAACAATAGATATGAAACAATAGATATGAACAACCATGATATTGAGTTTCAAACACCTCTTCACAATAAATAAAAAATAACAAAAATTTGTAAAGCTATATATATATGTATATATATATATATATGTATATATATATATATATGTATATTATATAGGAATGTTAAATAGACCCATGCTTTTACTAAAATGACCCACCCATCATGAAAAAAAATGATCTCTAGATTCATTTCTTCACTATTGGATCTAAAACTAATAAAATCCAACCATATTCATTATGATTACCGTATTCTTCATCATGGATGGATAGGTTGATTTAGTAAAAGCTTGGATCCATTTAACATTCCCCCCTATGTATATGTATACATGTATACATATGAATGCATTCCCCCTTATATATATGTATACACGTATACATATGAATGCATGCAAAAGACCATGAATCCACTTTGACTGACAGTACCACAGAGGAGAATAAAAGAATGAACTATTGTTCTACAAAAAGAAACTTAAAAAGCTGGTAAACGCTACACACACATACCAAACTTGTTGTTACTCACATCCAATCTTATTTCTTGGTCCCAAACAAACCCACAAAGAGGCAAACAAACCAACTTAGTTTGCCCCTTCTCGTTTTTCTTGTTTTTCCATGTTTGCTTCGATAACGCTACTACGGTCGAGGTGAACAGGGCTACAGAAGCACGCAACGCATTTGTAATTGTGTGTGTTTGTGTGAGCGAGAGGGGGCTCCGTTCATCTAGACACAAGCTGGAGGAGGGATTGAAAAGGAAGGACATATCCGTAATACTAGGGCAGAAAGGCCCAAGGTAGAGTAGTATGTGGCCATGAGTAGAGTAGGCAGGGCATGGGAGGGAGGGCGAGAGTTGTAGTAGTAGAATGTTGCCCAGCAGGGTCCAACTGGGTATGGCAATCACCGGTTGTCACCGATCGTCGCTGCCACAATTTACGAGCCCATCGCAACGCAATTGCTCTACTACCCTCAGTCATGCTATGACTCTGCGCCGAGTTTTCTGAACCATCGTCGTCGTCGTCGTCTCGGTGTTTCCTACACCTGCATCATCCGTTTGCGTAGGGTATAAACTAGGCTTCGACATTTCGAGGAGAATTTTGGTTTTTGAAGGTTGACTGACCCTGGCGGAGATTTTACCCGTTTTCTGCTGCTGCTGTTGTTGTTGTTGTTGTTGAGAGGATAAACAACCTGCAGGATCGTGGTGCTGGAGTTTTGTGGCGTTGGGTTTGGTACTTGGGGATTTGGGTGGATTCCAGAGTGTGGAATTTTGTGGATTGAGGGTGAGGAGAAGACAGAAAGAGGTGTGTTGTATCGGGAATCGATTTTGTAGTGTTGGGATTTAGGGGGTTGTCAAGCAGCAGGGAGGAGGAGTTTTGAGGCATGGGAGGAGAAGGAGTTGTGGGAGCTATGGGCCCTCCTCCGGTGCAAGGTGAGCCTGTCTGTTTTCTCTCAGAGCTAATCCTGAGGTTTTGAACTAGGCCTGGATTTCTACGGCGATGGCGATAATTGATGCGCGGTGTCACCTAGTGGCTGCTTGAATTCTTTGAAATCTAATAGGTTTGATGGAAAAATAATTGATTCATTCAATGGAGACATTTTGTTTGCGGAAGCCTTATGGAAACGACCATGAGCTATCAGAGTTATATATTTTTAGTGCATGAATGTTGAGACTCGTACAAAACATAGCTGGTGAGGAAATGGGTAGCGGTGATTCTAACAATTTCTTTCCAGTCGGACGTTTGTTTACAAACAGCTGATTTTAGAACGTTGAGTGACTAGTATCTCATCTTGTATAGGTTCATCTTAGTAGTCTGTCACATTTATATGTCCTCCTTTTTCCCAGGGAACCATAGAGTGGGACTGCATTGTCGTGGGTGGGATTTTTTTTTCCCCTCTTGTAAAGGCCACCGTGCATCTCAGTTGTTTGCAGATTATGATTTATGATAATCTTATATGTCCCAATTACTCTTTGAATGGTTGTGCGGCAGATACTGAAGCAGCAGGGCCGGCTGAAGGAGAGGCTGTGGAAAACAAGATAAAGACAGACCCATGGAAACTGGAGCCTCAACCAATTCGTGAAGACCAAGTAGTTAATGCTGTCAATTTTCTTTCTCATCCAAAAGTTCGGTCGTCGCCCATCGTTCATCGACGTTCGTTTTTGGAGAGGAAGGGCCTGACGAAAGAGGAAATCGACGAAGCTTTTCGCAGGGTTCCGGTATATACCTCTCAACTGCTTAGTGTGAATAATCCTTAACAATCCTGGAAGTGTTTTATAAACGAATCTGAAGAGATTGGCGTTGGAATTCAAAACAGTACTGGTGCAAACTATCAGTGTTGTTGTGGTCTTAACGTACCTCAATCTCGAGTAATGATATGTCTGTAATGAAAAAAATAAAAAAAATAAAAAATTGTAGGAAGATATCCCCTGGTATTGCAATGGTCTTGAAACGTGACGATTCATTTGAAAGGTCAACTTTTCATATTGATTTTCGTGTATTGCATTATTCTTTAACAAGAGTATGAGTAACCGAGGTTTATTTGGCTCAGGATCCTCCATCTTCAGAGGTAGCCGCAGCTTCTGCGGCAACAAAAGGTTTGTTTTGCGATGCGTATGTACGCATCAAGTTGTTGTCAGCACACAGAGAGCTCTAGTCTTTTTTTCTGCGGAGAATGCAGTTCCGGTGATTTGTGTTATTGATTTCCTCGATGCATCTAGGTATCTCTATTACATGAAGCAATTTGTATCATATCCTTCTCCATTCTAGCTTTGCAAATGTTCCTAACAGTAACTGAATCTAACAGGTGCCCAAGTGAGTGTACCCTCATCTCAGTCAATTGCTCCAGCTCAGAGTCAACCATTAACTGCTCTGGCAAGAAGAGAACTAAGCTGGGGACAAAAGCTGCTTGGGCTGGGGGCAATAGTGGCGGCGAGTGCTGGTGCAGGTGTCATCACCAAGGTTTGTATTGCATTCTTTGGTTGAAATTATTTTATGTAGATATCATAATTTTTAGACAGTGCCTAACGAATCATGTGATCCACTTTGTTAGGACACGAATAATGTTGATACAATCCGAACGGACTTACATATTGAATCAAGTTGATTGCATTGGCGATATAACTTTTTGAGAAGACTAATATTTTAACAGTTAATCCTGAAATAATAATAACAGCGTTGACAAAACATTGCTCTCTGTTCACAACGAGTTTGTTGAGAAAATTGTGATGATTTTACCGGATTCATGTTTACAGGTGTATTTACTTCCAAAGTTCAAATCATGGGTACGTAGCATCCTGGTAGAGGAAAGTGAAATTGATAAGAAGGTATCTCCACCCACAGAGGGGCCACCCGTTGAGCCAGTTGTGAATGAGGTTGCTCTAGCAGCTAACGCTGCAGCTGCAGCTGCCTCTGAAGTGGCTGCAGCAATGCGTGAGTTTTCTCATGCTAGAGTTAAAGGTAATCTCCCTCTTCTACAACTTTCAGGGTTTTCTGTATCACTCTCCGTGTTTTTCTGTTCTGTAATGATTCTATTGAAGAATATCGAATAGTGTACGAAGTTCTTTTACTGCTACCATAAACTGTAGAATACCGTAATGTTGGTTCACGGGCAGTTTTCTGACAATCGAGAGGTACCAAGTTGACGTGTTGACTTGTATTTTTATTGTGGTTTAGAAAGTCTGCAGCTGGGAAGCATAATCAAAGCATTGGAGTCACAGACCCAGGAGCTGAAATCTGCCCTCTCCGGCATGCGGGATGTTGTAACCGATCGGGATGCTGTGACCAATCGGGATGTTGTGAACAACTCCGAGTTAACTCCTACGTCATCATTTGGCAGAGGTCGTCCTTAATCAGCTTGTGCTGGATGATTAATTCCTCGCAATTTGTATTTCTCTCCTGGACTCGCAGATTTATTTTTGTTTTTATTTTAAATGTGAAAGTTCATTGTGATGTGTCATAGCTAAACTTCTGCCTTCTACCGTGAGTGTTGATTTTGTCTGCTTACAAAAACTCCTGATGACAGGTTATCGATCAGATCCCTGGCGTACACCTGAGATGCCCCGTCCCTCAGGTACACACTGTGAATTTTGTTATACGTTCATCTATGTGTTATACGTTCATTTTTGTGTTCCACATCCAAAAATTTATTAGACTTCTTGGGTTCGCAAACTACAATTCATTAATATGGATTATATTACGTCTGCAGCTATGCTGGCCGAACGACCGTACGCATTAGCAGTGATACCACCACCCTCGCCACCCCCGGCTGAAAGAGAAGAGTCGCCAGAGAATGGGTCGGAGCCTATGGGTAGCTGAGTAATTTAGTGGTTATAGAAGCCAATGATGTACTTCTCTTAAGGTTATTTGGTGTTAATTAGCCTCACGGCGAAAAAAGCTGAAGTGCGTGATCCGGTTCTCAAATGCACAGCCCTACCCTCTGGTGCTCCCGTGGCGAAGTAAGAGTTTTAGTAAATATGTTTTGACTGTCAATATACTTCCAATGTACAAGAATAGACCGGCTTGAAGTTTGTCTCATGTGTACTAGAGCACCATTGCTATTTTTTGTGTTTTAGCGATCTTTTGAAGTGATGATCACCAGGTTTTCATGACTTCGAATCCTTCAAATCCTCATTGCACAAGCTCTGCATTACAGGTGCAGGTTATTCTAGTCAACCGTCCTGCGTTACTTCAAAACAGTACTTGGGGGAAAAGACGGGTACTTTAGAACAAGCTAGAACTAAGGGCTGCTACTTGGGTCTGTGGTCCGAGCCTAGCAGCAGGCACTTCACATCCTCAAACGACTTAGGCAATTCATCAGATAGCATGGAATTTGTCAGAGGCAGACCAAACGTTTTATATTTTATTAACACTACAATTTACAGCAGGCTTACATATAAAGTGCGAAAGAAACTACACATAAAACCCTCTTATCAAGGCATCTACAACAATACTTCAGACAGTGATCATTTCATCAAAAGAACAAGGCTTTAGAGCCTACAGCCCCAGTGTCCACAGGGACCTCGCTCCCGGATCTAAGGACGAGGGAATCGCTGCTCTGATCGACCAAGACAGACACAGTACCCGACACTCGTGAATCTGCATCTACAACCACAGTGTTGTCCTTCACACTCCGCAAGACATGCTTTGGGAAGTCCTTCCCGTTAATATAGAGGGAATACTGTGTATTTTGAATGAAATCTCTGAAAAGAAGTCGCTCGTTCAGATTGAGACGCCACGTATACGAAGATGCAAGGGTGGCCCTAGCGATGGTCGCCTTGAGAGCCATACCATAAGCAGTGTTCTGGTCCACCAGTGTGTCATACACTGAGGTAAAACGGCCTGCGGATTCATCAAGCGCCACAATTGGAACACCACGAGAGCTTCCAGTAAACATGTTGCCAGTGATGGTAAGGTAGGAAATGCTGTGGGTTTTCTTAGTTGCTCGCAGCAAGATGTTGGCATCACCCGATAAGAAGTTGTTCGTAATTTCAAGCTGCAAGGGGTCTTCAGCAATAATCCCTGTGCTGTCCAAGTGACACCCAACGATCCGCGTCTGAGAAAAACCTGGCAACTGCAGATAGATACCCACACCTCCTAAACTCGTAGCTTTATTATAAGCGTGCAAACCTGTAATGTAGTTTCCCACCCCACTAAGAGAAACCCCATAGGCAGCTGAGAAGATAACCACATCAGCAACAACGTTGTCATTGCTAATGAGGTTGATTCCAATTCCCGTGAAGTCCGACTCTCTCGGATCACCACCAGCTGTGATAAATTGACCGATAAACGAATCGCGAATTACATTCTCATGACCACCCTCCACCAAGATGCCATCCGTTTCGAAGTGAGCTACGTACACATTTTCCACGGTGACGCGGATAGAATCCACGACAAGTAGTCCTCCACCCCTGAAATTACCGTCCAACAAGAGATCCCTTATGATAATATCTTCATACGCCACAAATTCCTTGGATAGAGGCAAACTCCGACCCTTCCGTTCCCGAAGTGAACTTTTCGTTTGATTCGCTCTGAGGCTCTCAGACTGAGAAGACCAAAGCTCAATTAAGTATCCATCTCGTGGAAAATTCGACGTTGCCCTAAGGGTACCACCATGGATCTGCATTTCAACATTCCATTGCCCATATTAAAAAACTGGATCCACTTCAAATGTTTAACCAACTGCAAAGATGAAGTCAATTGTTACATCCACGCAATCACATCTTGAAAACTTAAAGAAGGAATTATGAGTTGAGAAAGTCAACCATAACAGTTTTCGAATGTAATGCCCTTCTTACTGCCTTCATCAGCTCACAACAGAGATATTAACAAAACCCAATGACCGACTCATGAATACAACTGTCTTCCAGAAGTTGTTACTTGGTGAACAAGCTTGAAAGCAGATTTTGACCTATTGAGTTGAGAAGACACTATCGTGTCAAAGCGAACGAATCTCATAAAGGTGAAAGACATACCACAAGATTTCCCCCGCTCTTCCCAGGGAACCGAAGAGGGTGGCTGATAAGATAATCGCCTCCTTCCAAATGAATCTCGACGCCACCAAGATCTGGAATTCCAGGAAGAAGCTCGTGTTTGGTAGCCATGTTGAAAGCCTGATTAATAGCGGTCTGTAATGCTCGGGTGCTATCATATTGACCCGAGGGATCAGCATTGTAATCCGTCACATACAGTACTCTGGAGTTAACCCCATTCCTCTGCACAATGAGAGGTCGACGTTAAAGATAGATAATAATTCAAGGGATTGTAGTGATTATGAACGGCTCATAAGTCTTCCTCCACATGTTCAGTCGTAGAAAAATGGTCTGGATTGCCTTGAATGTCTGTGGTCCTAAGGCTAGGTGCTGAAAATGATGGATGTCAATTAAATTACATAACCTCATCAACATTTTTGAAGCGCATCACTCTAAACTATTCCTGTTAAACCCACACTGCCGTATTGTAAGTATGTGTTCGACTCTCTGGGTAGTCAAATGATTATTCCCAGTATGACTCACTAACTATCAGTTTTTCTGAAACCCTAGGATACATGCTGTACGCACTAATGTACTAAATGTAGAGCAATGGAGGTTATACCTTGTCCCGCAAGCGACCTTCCTCAGCAGACATGGCCTTCGTTTGCTGCCATAAGGAGGTTTGCAGCAGCTGCGCTCTCTCCCTACTGGGGTTAAGGTGCCCGTGCTGCGCGGAAAATCGTAGGATGTTCCGGTCTCCAACTCTGAGATTCGACTTCAAGGCATCCGATAAACGATAGCTGTACCCTGGTGCGATCAGAAAAAGGAGGCACACAAAGAGCACCACATTTCGCAGACCGAGGCTTCTCATTGCAATGACCTGCAAGCACGACAAAAACTTCAATGCGTAACTGCATTCAAAGGTAATTATATCGCAAGCCCAGAGATGAACTAAATTTTATTGTCAGTTTAGAATGACAAGTTACAAATCCCCTACTATAATGTTCCTTAGCAATTCGAGCAAACTTTCTACCTCGACACTGAGAACTATGATCAAATCTGAAGGCAATTGAACATTAATTGCGAGCTGCTAACCTCGGGCACCGCAATCAAGGCACACAATAACAATTCACTTCGGAAACTGACCTTTCATGCACATAACCACAAGTACCTGCTACCGACTGAATTCCACTGATAGGAAACCAAATGTCAAAACCTATCTCGCATGCAAAACCCACTCAACTTCTTCGTCAAACTCTTAATACTCTCCATCTACAAGATCTAAGCTGAACCTCTCAAACCTAGAAACTCCGTAGGCATGTCAACCCACATCCTCAACACACACAAATACCCAGGAATACACTACCCTACTGGACCTAAATCAAATGCATTAGGCCTCCCCCACTGCCAGGCTACAAACCCAATATGAAGAGAGAGAGGAAGCGAGAGAGAGAGATAAATGACCTTAATATGGAGTGAGGCGTGGCAACAGCCGGGCAGATGACTCGCAAAAAAAAATGAATCCGAGTTGTGCAGTGGCACAAACCAGCTTTCACTACATCACACTTGTTTCAAACCCACAAGCCCAAAACATGGCACAATTGCCTGCTGAACCCAGAATACCCAAACCTGATGTGGTGGTATCAGCTGAAGAAGGAGATGGCTCAAAACTCGCTGCAACAGCGGTGAAGATGATTGATGGGGAAGGTCCTGCAATTGTGACTTGGCTGTTCTCCTCCACGACAGATTTCAAGGGGCTGTTTGTGTAACTTTCTGAGTCGGATTCCCCGGCCCATTGGCAGCCTGTCCGATAAGAGGGCAGGATGAAACGGTCCATCGTTTTTCTTGTGTTGAATGTTTGTCATCAATTACTGTGGGCAGAATCTTATGATATGTTGTTGGTGCTGAAAGAGAAAGCATTGAATCCCATTCTGTAAGCAGGATACTTGTGATGCTCTGAAGCTTGGCCCAATTCGGAACCAATAGGAGGTTTCAAACTTGGCACTTTTGCAAAACCATTTAGCACCTAATATTTATAGGATTATTCAAATACCAAATCTAAAATATCACCATTCAAATTTTATTATCCTTGATATCATTCCTAATTCAAACTTCATTACTCCTAATATTATCCATGATTCAAACTTTATTACTCCTGGTATGGAGTCAAAGAAGAAAGAGAGCTAAGACAAGTGATACAATTTTTGATATTTGACCTGCCTCTCTTTTGATATTCAATATCAAAATCACCTACCTTGCAAGGTGGGTTATTTGGTGAAGTATTGAGTGATATTTCAAAATATCACTAAATATTTTGAGCTTGCATCATGGGTAAAATATCACCCAAAAAGACCATATTTGAAACCTCATAATAGGAGTATTTCTTGCCTTTTTGAGCTTTATTTATTTATTTTTTTTGTATCACCAAAGTGTATATTCAATTCAACCCTAGTAATAAAAGTAAAGAGAAGTCCTCAAAAAGACCAAATTCTAATTTTAGAGATTAGACATATTGTAGTTTTTATTAGTTGTAGAATTTGTCTCTTCATGGTTTGATTCACTACCTAAGTATCAATGAACATTGATTTGGAATTCAAAAAGATTGTGTCATAAGTTGTATAAGGCAGGAGTAAGGCCATTACAACTTTATATTCTTTCTATTCTCCTTGCAATGCAAATTCCTCTCTATCTTCTCTACGATTTGTTCTCTTCATGTCTTTAAATTGCAATTTGCATTGTTTTAGTTTTAGCTTTTTGTTTTGTATTTTTTACATCAATGTTCTTAATTGGAACTACGCATAAACACTTAAGATTAAGCTAAGTCAATTCTTCATCAAATCCTATAGAAACACTTTAGAAGCTCTTGTAAGCTACTTTAGTAGCAAGTTTTAGACTTCTTTCCTTTCTTGGTAAAGTGCTAGTCTCATCCCAATTTCTTGTTCCATTTCTTGAGCAACTCATATTTTTGCAATAAATCTTGGACTTACTCTTCTTGGCAAATGTTATCCTTTTTGCAATTTGTTGCTCCACTTTGGCAACTACTTTAAACTCTATTGTTAGTCACTAATTCCTTGCCTTACTCCTTTCGCAATCCAAATCTCATTCCAACTCCTTATTCCACTCTTTTAGCAACTTTTAGCCTTGTCGTGATTCTCTAACCTCCTACCTTGCTCACTTAACAACTACAAGTCTAGTTGTGACTCCTTGCTCTTCTTCCCATCACTTCAAATAGTATTGCACTCAATTCTCAATTACTTAATTTATTTTCACCTTTTGTTGTAAGTTGTGACATTGTTTCAAATACATTGAATTACATAAAAATATAAAATCCATATTGAAGCATACAATTAATCACAATTTAATTTAATATAAACATATTGTATGTAAAAATAATATAACATATATGATTATTTTTAATAATATTCTATCATATAAGAAAATTAAATTGAAAATATAGCAATATCATCATTAATTAATTCAAATTATATTATATTATTATATATAATAATATAATAAATATTATTTTATGCTTATTTATAAATATTTATTTATTTTTTAAATATATAAAATAAATATTTATTTATTTTTCAAATATATAAAATAAATATTTTTTATTTTTTATCTTTTATTTTAATATCTATATAGTTTATTAATTAATTTTTTTATTATAGAATATTTATATTGATTATTATTAATGTAATTGTTTTTTTGTAATTCTTCTTATTAATGGTTTATTAAGAAAAACTTCTTTTATCTATTTCACTTAGCATTAATCTTTTTTAAAGTGTTTTTCTATCTTTTTTAATAAGTAGTGAATAAATTGCAACTTTTAGAATACTTGGTAAAATATAATTTTTTTAATTTATTTTTTAAATTTTTATTAATATTTTTTTCTAATAACATGTAATTTTAGAACATAACTTTTTAATATTATATTCTTAACTAATATATTCATTTTAGTTGATTATTTTTATTTTTATTATATTAATATTTTAAAAACATATATATATATATATATATATATATGTGTGTGTGTGTGTGTGTGTGTGTATGACTATTATTTTTATATGATTTTTAATTTCTATATTCACAAAATATCTATTTTTAGTATTCAACCTTTTTATAAAGTTAAAAATTAATAATGGATAAGTAATTTATTTTATCTATATTTAGATATTAGAAAGATTATATAGTAATATTTTTAGTTTTTGAACTAAATAATGGCTATTAATTTTGGAAGATCAACCATTGCCAAGTACAAAAATGTTCCAACAATTCAAATCCTCCTTTTGGTTGTTCTAGGTTATAATGACCTAGTGTTTACTCTAAGAAGTAGTAAGAAGAATTCAAATGCATCTTCAATTGTATTAATTATGATTGAGTATAATCTCTAAAAGTTGATTAAAGATTTTTCAGAAGAATGATTGTTGGAAGACAAATTAGATATTTCTTGATCAATTCATATCAGCATAAAGAGAAATTTAAATATTTAATAATTTTAATTAAATTCATTATTAGTTCAAGCATAGTAATCTTAGTTTATTTCTTATTTTATTTACATGTTTATTTTATATTAACGAGTTTATAAAATGCATTAATGTAAATGTTCTTATAATTAAAAAATTAAAAATTATTGATGATTTGTATAGATATAATTAAGAATGTGGTCCAAAAGATTTAAAAAAAGATTCTAGTTATTGAAGGTCTCAAAAAAGAGATTACTTTTTAGATTTTTCTATTTATCAATTAAATCTGTATCTAAATATTATTGAAGTAGTTTACTATTAGAATAATCATACTAGAAAAAATGGTAAGGTTGATCATAGTACAATGAATATTTAGTCTATAAAAAAGATAAGTAATGTAAGTCCACATATATCTATAAAATTAAGAAATTAAATGATTTCTAAATTAAAAAGTGGTCTTAATTTTATGGACATATTAGAAAAAAGATAAGAAAATATAATTGAAGTATTAGACTAAAGATAAGAAATTTATTTGAGATAAAAATTTATTGCTTAAAGATGTATAGTATTATAAAAATAAATTCAAAAAAAGATCAATGGTATAAACATAAGAATATTTTACCAAATTTGAGTTTTTAGAAGGTAAAAAATGAAAATAATGTCATTTTAATTTAAAAATTGATAGAAAGTTGGATGTTACATTTACCATTAGTATTTAAACTCTGTAACCCCTTTTTTTTTTCTGTTAAATAATAAATTTTCATATGTTTTCATAGATTTTATATTTAAGACTAATAATTTAAGATATCATTTTTTTACACTAGTTCTATTTAATAAGTGAAAAAATAGAATATGAGTATTTTTTATCATTATAATTAAATAAAATATATGTCTTTCTATTTCTATTTTTAAAATATACAAATATAGTAAATTTTTAGTTTTCAGATTTTAAAAAAAATCTTTGAATATAATATATTTTAAAAATATTTCTATTTTAAAATCTAGGATTATAATAAATTCTAGAATTTAAGGATTCGGTACAATTATAATTTTATTTACTAATTTTTTTTTTGTTGTAATAGATCTTTTTACAATAGAATTATAATATCTTCTTTATAAAAATAAAGATACGAATAATAGTATTTAAGCTTATTATGATATATTACAAAAAAATAGATTTATTGGTGTGGAATTCAATAAATTTTGTTATTATATATTATATATATTTGGAAGACCAAAATATATTATATTAGTTGTTAATAAAAAGATGGAAGGAATTGTGAAGTCTTTTTATACAATTGTGAATAAAAAGACTTACCTTATATAGCTTTAAATGTTTCTAAATATAATATTTTAAAACCAACTTAATTGAAAAATATTTTTATAGCAAAATTTAATTTTATTATATATTTTCTAATCCTTAAACCCTAAATCCTAAACTTGATAATATATATTGTTACCATAAGTAAGCTTTAAGATGGAATTTGTGCACATAATTTTTTTTATTATTTATTTGTTTTTTTCTCAAAATGCATATTTGAGTTTTTATTTAATCGAATACATGTTCTAATAGGATTTCTTTATACTTATACAACCAATTGAACACAACAATAAGATTTGTAATAGATCTCAATTATTCATGATATTAATAGAGAGGATCTTTGAAGAATATTTTTGATACACAAGAAGAGTGGATGCAATATGTGAGCCTTATCAATAATACAAAAAAGATGTCAAAATTTACATTTATTAATTTTAAAGAATAAATACTTAGTATTTATCCTACTAATGTTGTGGATTACCAATAACAAAAATAAATAAAAATAAATAAATAAAAACTTCTAAGTCTTTTTTGATAATTAGTCTTTTTTAGATAAGAATTATCCTTTAGACAAGCATATCTAATAATTTCTTTTCTAAAAAACTAAAATGATGGTTTTTGCATGTATTGATGCACTTGCAACAAAGTAGATGTGATATTTCTCTATGGTTTTACAAAAGCATGACAATGTATCCAAGAACCTAATTAATGGCTTGCAATTTTATCAATATCACATCTACATTAATAGCCAATAAATATGCATTATTGTGAACACAATTAATAAACAATTGCTACATTGTTAACAAAAATGTTCAAGCAATTCATAAATTACATTCTTTTCTAGAATTTAATGCAACCTAATTCAACTTTCACTCTTTTGTTGCAAGGAGCAAACTTCTCATTAATAATACAACACCTAGACATTGTCATATTCACCAACAAATACAACACAATCACAATTTTATATTGTGTAATTACAATCTGGCCTCTATTTAAAATTTTTAATATTTGAACTATTTAACCATTCCAAACAGTTTAAAAATAATTTATATCAATTTTTTCCTATTACTACACTGATTGAATGGGTTTCTAGTTAACCAATCTGTTGCAAACTAATTCAACTGGTTTGCAACCTGTACCGTTCAAATGGTTGCTACCTCTGCACATGAGAGGCCCAGCGCTGCATGAGCGCAGAATATGTGATTTATCCCTGATAAATTAGTACATCTTGCTACGACGTGGCTCATGTTGTTTGAAGTGTTTCTCGTGTTTTTGTTTCATTTCATAATTGGAACTGGAAGTTGAATTTCAAGGTTGTTTGTTTGTTTGTTTTTCTGTTTTTGCAGGTGCTTTTGTCATTGTTAGGTGAAGGTGCAGACAGAGTGGATAAAAATGTGTGCAGTCAATGAGAAAAGGTTGTGGACTGAGCCAGCTGAGGAAGGTGGCTGAGGGATAAACTTCTACCGATGGTATAATGTGAACATTTGGGATTTTAAAATTCGTCTTCACAGAGATAGATTTGTGGACCTCAAGATTTTGCACTCGTGCCAAAAACGCTGTAGATTAAATCTGCACCATGATAAGGTTACAGAATTGGGAGCACTTGCCTTGTTTCCTTCAGTGAAGTGCGAGGGTTTACTGGTGGAGCTCTTGACAAATCATTGTCTGAATGGCACTATTTCGCTCTCGGCTCATGCGGGAACTTAGATCTTGCAAAGGGACTAAGACTTTGTTACTTGTTATTAGAGAATTAGGGACTTAGACTTTGTTACATTGTTCCTTATCTACAAGCATATTCTCAAATTGCTCTACTATTTTGGACTCAATAATGCCCCATCTTGGTGCCACCAAGGATTGTGCGGAATCGGCATGCTAGAACATACACGTAACATCATTAGAATGTCAATGCGTGCTGGCAGAAAGTCAGGCCGATGTACAGGCTGGAAATTAAATATTGAAATTTATTTCTTAAAACCCTGTGCAGTGGGAGGAAGGCCGAAGGCTGTGTTCGGAGGGGAATGCTTCAAGCTTTGGTGTACTCTTCATGGAGTATGAAGGGTTGAAGCTCTGCCTGTCGCAATATCATTCAATCTGGTTCATGTATTTCTTACATTATGTGTTACTAAGGTTTTTAAATAACTAAAGTTCAAAAATCAAAATTTTATTATTTTTCAGAATTGTGTGTATACATTAATATCTCTTTAATTGGATTCCGAAGTTGAAATCTCGGAACCCCTGTAGTCTGGATTTATTTACATTTATATATATATATATATATATATATAAATATTTGTCAACAAATCTAATCAACAAGATTACTAACAAAGATTTAAAAAAGAATGACGAAGAGTTTGTTTCAGGGAATTCTATCCCTCGCACCTTCGACAATAAATGATGTATTGCAGTTTACCCCACGAGTCAGACCAATAGTACATTCAGTAGTGCATGGGATCTTAATGATACGTTTCTTTTTTCTTTTTGTCTTCTTATTTCAATAGAGAAAAGGGATTGACACGTTCTCGCTGTGGCTGACGAAGAAGGCTTTATCAGCATCTTCAACACTCATCTCGATTTACTAACCCTTGTGACCGGAGATTGCAATATGGTTACGTAATTTTTCGTTACACAGTAGCTTTCATGTCATTGTCTACTTGCATCGACTTGAACCTTAACAACACAGACACGACCCTGCAGAACGATACAAGTTTGTCATGCGAGTTGGTTTGAATCGGGATAGATTGCGTTTTGTGCCCTTACAGAAATGAGTGGGTGGAAAACATGGATGGCACACACGAATGCCAATTTTGATGCCGCTTAGATACAGGTACGCAGTGAAATAGACATACCCATGTCAGCACAGCTCTTATCCTTGTTTCAGTTGTCAGGTGCTCTTGAGTCCCTCGTGTCTATGCGTTACGTAGAGCGGAAATTACATCCATAGCAGTGTGTGTCATTGGGGAGTGGTCTAGGACAAAGCAAGAATGGGTTCTCATGATAATCTCTCTTCTTGGCCGGATCATTGCTAACTGTGGATAGCGGGGCTACTCCACTGCAGGATGATACGCGCATGCTCACATTATCGGGAAACCAGACGATATTTCTCAGTTTCTAAACGAATTCATATTTCTCATTCTCTGTAGGCCATCAGTAGCCTAGAAGAAAATAATCGTGTTAAGGTTAATTAAGTCACACGTACTTTGGATACATATTTTACTTGACAAACGTGGTGTTTTCATTCACCATATTTTGATCATGTAGGGTCTCAATGTAATTGACACAATTACGGGCCATTACAGATTCGTCTCTAGGATGTAAAATCTTTGCAGACCTTGGGAGTAATGAGGGGCCACTCCGGGAGCGTTAAGTCTCCATGTTCTCATCTTCTAGTGCAGGTATTTCATAACTTCCTCTACACTCAAGTTTTTGCGCGGATATGATTATTTGTCAAAAGACATATCGTGTTTTTCGAAGGTGCCAGATGCAATGCTCGAGATATTTGGCTTCAAATGCTAATGATATGTTGATCAGGATTCAGTCTGGAAAATTTGCATTTAAAGTGGCCATTTATAATTTTTCAGCTTCAGATCCTTGATATGTCAAGCACCTCTGTAGAGATAGGGAGCATTATTTGTACATGAGGTCGATACAATGAGTGCTGAGGCCACTTTTTTAACTGCATAGGTTTTCGTATGAGAGTCAAGGCACGGTAGTGTAGCTCAATGGGGCTTGCGGAGTTCAACATTCACCTCTGCAAATAGAAGCATTTCCAGGTGGGTCAGATTTTGATGTATTATTCGTCAATCCAGTTACTGTCATTAGTTACCTCTCCAAGTATGAGCTGACAGAACGCAACTTGCGCGTAGTTCTTGCAAAATTTAGCTAAATGTATGCAGTTGGGCAATTAGCATATGTGCTCATGATGGAGGATAGTGTCAGTGATAAGGAATGGATAGCGATCATCTTGGTAGCCTGTCTCAATACTGCTGTTGCTCGTTGATTATCCAATCCATATTTCAAGCCACTGCTGATCGTAATCATGGTCAATACTTGTGGCTTAGAATCTACATGTATAATGGAGCATTTCCAGAGCGCGGTGACATGTCAAGTTTCTCAGGCCATGTCCTAGGACCCTTCTACGTCAAGGTGTGAGTTCCACCAATGTCATAGCTTTTAGCGTCGGTTGTTGAGTCTGCGGCTACTGATACTGTTAGCCACCTACTCTCCAATGACATGAAAATTTAAGAGCCTCCAGGAATTTGACTTCTGGCACCCTAACCTGTCTCTCCTGTGTCTGAGTTGTTTGCATTCAGGCCTGACGGTTCCCATAATCTTAGTGGCTCTTCAGACAGCAACGTGTACGTATGGCAGGTATGACCTCCGCCTGAGTACAAAAGTTTGATTTTCTGCTAGTTTGGCACTAATGCGGCACTAAAATATTCATCACATGTTTCAAAACACGCTGTATACTCTTTCTCAGGTTGACGTGTTCGTAAAGAAAATACTACTGACCGCATTGTTATTCTATAAGTGGACAATCCCTCTGCAACTCCGGCAGTTTTAGAAGGATCTAGAGGAGAAGGTGCTGCTGTGAATTAGTAACTTATACTTATTTCTTCTACAACACGATACAAATTTATCATGATTTAAACTTCAGTTGCTTTAATCGGCGCCTTATGGTTGCCTGAGAAATACTTTGACTTCTGAGGTGATTAGTATTCTTACCTACTTTTATTTCTTTCAGATGTTCAAGTTATGAAATCGTTACGAGCTCTGATGACTGCATGGTATGTGTTTGGAGCTGTAAGTGTATCAGTTTACAAGCCAAAAATTGCCGCCGCTTATCTGCCATGGTTGCCATCGTATCTCTGTTGAACCAATATTTCCCTCTTGAAATCACTTAAACGTCATCCAAGAGACTCCTGATCCTAAGCAGCTGGAGTCCCCATCAAGCACTCCTACTTCTGTCATTGAGTGGGACCCAAACTCGACTAGTGGAACACCTTCTAAGTTCAAAATATTTGCAAAGCCTTAAGCCCTATTTTTGATGGAAGGCAGCTCCCTTGATGCACTATCCAGGATTACTTTCTTCATATGCAGAGGTGCATCTACTCATGTACAGCATAGACTAGTCAGGAATGGCACTTTTGATGGTGTTGAACATGTATGCCTTGTGCTTCACCAATCCTTTATGCAGGTTATGTATTGATGTTTGATGCCTATTATGAACCCATTTGATAAAAAAAGATTTGGAAATTATAGGCAGTTACTCAAAGCCATCTCAGTAATCTATTTTCTTGTGTATTAAACTATTTCTCAGATCAGGAACTGCAAGTATTGTTTGTTGCCTGATACAGGGAATGCAGTGATTGTCATTCTGGTATACAACAGAATACTTAATTGGGACTATCTCTTCATTTTTTTCACTGGTCCAATATTTAGAGTTTTGTTGGCTGATATACTATTCAATAGCTTAAGACCTTGACATTTCTCCTTCCTGTTTTCTCTTCTGTATTAAAAATTATGGTAAATGACATAAACTTGATGTAATTCTATATGTATACTGTTGACTAACAACTGGTTTGATGTTGGTTGCTATGGACAAAAAATAGATTGAAGGTGCAAATTATCTCAAAACCTTTTGATTAAATGTCTAGATGTAGTGTTTCAACTTTGGAGACTGAGTAATGTGAGTTGAATTTGGAACAAAACAACTGCAGGTTAGCCCAGCATGTTTGGAGTCTTGTCCAATATTGCTACAGTGAATGGTGTACTACATCAATACATGAAATTGACCAGTTGTGTTAGTGCAGATACTAGCTGGTGCAGGGAAATTTGCTGTTCCACCTACTGTCATGTTTTGAGTGCCAGAACTGAGTGCGGGTGAAAACTTCTACTGTATCACTACAGCTTGGAAAGACAAGAGCATAGGGTAATTAAAAGCATCAAAGTTGGTGATATCTGATTACTGTATACATTTGTACATGATTTTATGCAATCTGAAAGAAATTGAGTTTAGTAAGCAAGGCTGAACACAGCTTTGGGTGCAGCTGGAAGGACTGCATGCATGGCCTTGGAGGACAACTCCAGGCCTGTAGGAAGGACAAGCAATGACTACAATTGGGCTCTCAAGGAGACCTACATAGGTATATACAGGGTGCGACCACACTAACAAATTGATGCTGACAACCAAAATTGATTACTACAGCTTCTGTTGACACTTTGCTGTCCAGTACATGCAGTAGGGACACTCATGTACAGATCTCCTATAGTTGACCCTGGAGCCACTTTAATGCAATGAGAAAGGACAAATCCTGTGGAAGATTTAGGATGGGAAAATTTAGCATGAAGCCATGACTACCTCCAAAGGAAATTCATCCTGAAACTGTGTCCACTGGTGCATGACACTCAGTTACCTTAAAAGCTGAGAATATTCCATCCAACCATTCTGATAAAAACTGTAAATAAGTAACCTTGCAAATCTGTTAGTCAAGGATCACCTTATTTGTACAGATATAAGCCATTATTTTAATATGTGAAGAATTTGTGTTGAATTCAACACCTACCTAAATTTTTTCTAATTGAACACTCTTATGCCAACTGAAACCACATAAAAAAATTGAACGTTCAATACTTGTAATTAAGCAAAAATTAAATTATAGATCTGAGGTTTGTAAAACGATACTCAAAAGATATTCAAATATTTAGTGGTCATTTTCTAATGCATTCTGGAAAGTAGAGCCTTTTCTAAGGTAACATTGGGTTTGAGTAAATTCTGAATAAGTGAGTCTCTGTTACCAGGGACCAGGAGAGGCGCTATGCATAGCCCGGGCTTTGATGACTTGAAACGTCCTGAAAAGAGGTGTGCGTAACTTCTGTAAACGCGAAAATGAAGTAACTTAGTCGCTGATGAAAAAAATCCAGAGCCAACTGTTGGTCTCCTCACTCTGACTTCTAACTTTGAAATCCATTAAAGCGAGCAGGAGTTAAGTTTATTGGGGATTGGGTCACTGTGTTTTACAGAACATCGAGTTAGACTTAGTAACACTTGAATATCAAAACGAAGATGCTCAGCATTCGTTGCAAATCAAGTGGCTCGAGACAGATACATCAGTCTCAAGAGCGAAAAACTCCATATTGGTCATATTGGCAATTTCAAAAACATTAAAGTAGTATAACTGAAGCAAGTGATTTGTATAAAACAACGCCACTGGGAAATTTTGAGCAAACTATAGATTTAAACAATTGGACAAGTTTTGTAATCTGGCGGAGCATTTGTGACCGCCGGTATAATATATATTAATACAGATATTTGTACAGGATGAACGACATGTAGCTGTAATTTTGTGGGACAAAGGGACTGGTCCTCAAGAGGGGCTTGACAATGTTCTATCTTACTGCTTCATCCAAGCCGCTTGACAGTGGCGGCTTCTCTGGGCCACGAAAAGGATTTTGAAGATCATGGACAAATTTGAGTCAAAGCCTAGAACAAATGAGAAAAATAGGTCTAGAGCATGGTGTGATAGAAAGTGAGATTGATGCTACATCGATGACATAGAAAGCGTTGAGGAATGACATCCATGTCAGAGATCCCGCCGCAACGAGTGTGCTGCCAAACTTCACAAACATCACAGGCAATCATGCGCTCTCCGTCGTCATCTTTCGTACCACAAGGGCAGTCAACAGTCCAGCTTTCCATACCACCCTCGTAACGCCAGTCGTGGCAAGTGTGGATACCGCTGCCCTCCACACGTACATGAGAACCCGATTCGATAGTTCCAAACAACAGATCTTCGTCGTCGCATACTAGATCAGGAATTGATTCCACGCAGAAACTGTGCATGATGAAGTATGTCTCACGGAATGCCCTCTGCGCCTCGAGTTTGAGATCTCTAACTGTTGCGTGAGGGGGAAGAACGACCAACTCAGGAGGAGGGCTAGGCCTGTTTCGTACAGGATCTTCGTCGTTCAGAACGACTGTACACATCACTCTCAACAACTCATCGTCGTCCATATTCCAGTCGTTGTTAGCCGACTTGCGCGTGAGTTCTCCACGATAATCCTTAATGAACTGTTTCGTGTCTAAAATAATTCTGGTTGCTGTGGGAATCGCCGTCAGCATGTGCTTGATTCCGCTGGTCCTGGCAGGTTTATAATTTTCTAATACATTTTTGTAGATGTAGACTATGTCTTTCAGAACTTCGGTTCTTCCTATTTCACAGGTCGTCTCCGGAGCTTGACATCGAGATTGATCCCTCACAGCTCCTGCAGCTGTAGCTGCATCCTCCAGACTATACTCCAAGACTTTGGTAATTGGGTTCACGGCTCTGCGGACAATGTGGTTGCCTACAATGCGGTTACCCAAGGACTTCAGGACGTAGTCCAGAAGACCTGTGTCGCCAATGTATACTCGTGCTGCATCTCGGACATCTTGCCTCGGCATCCACTTTTTGTCACAGCTTTTGAGAGCCTCCACAATAACTTGTGTAGCTAGGTCCAAACGTTTTAGCGACCATCTAGAAGGCATTTCTGTCGGTGGAGTGCTGCTAACTGTTGGACTTAGGCTTGAGCTTCGTCTGTGATTGTCTTTAAGTCCTTTGGACATACCTTTTGTTTCCGGATGGTCTGGTAATCTCACTTTCAGTTCCATCATGAAACGGATCAAGTCACCCACGGTCTGCAGTGTCTGACCGCTAATACGCTGGTATAGGACGATTATGTTTAACACGTCCTGGTCGACTCCTTCAAAGTGCTGTGCCATAACTCTTAAAGGCATCTCGCGAATAGCTTCGACAGCCTTCACGTACATCTGCTGGGTGATGCCAAAACTCCCATGCCCAAAAACATAACCCCACCTTCCATACCAGGGTTCACCGTAACCAACGGCATGAAGCAGACGAAGCTCCAATGAACACTTCTTCGCTACATCTTCTACACTGATTTTCCTGTATAAGATAACCATTCGACCAAATCTCTTAGTGAAAAAACTTCCTTTGAAACTCCGTGCGAGTAGAGCTACCTTGAATCTTAACGCTGGTTTTCATAAATGGATTCATATGAATGATTTAAAAACTAATACAGGGAATGGGTTGAAGCAGTACTATTGGTCCTTTTAAACACTTGTAAAGGAGAATTACCTGGCTCTCAGCATTGCGCACATTCGATCCCAGAGATCCATTATCTCTCTCCCTGATGCAGAATCAGATCCCTTCTCTCTTCCGTTGATGCGAAGGAGATGACCGAAGCCGTTACAGTGAATAACTCCGTGGAGCAGATGGCTTTGAGAGTATAGGAAACCAGCTGGCACTGCTTCATCACCGCAGGATGGACAACGAAGGTATCCGGATGGTAACGGCTCCTTGCAATTCAAGCATATCTTGGCACTTAGAATCCCATTCGTCCTCTTTGAGCGCTCGGGATTGTCTGAGGCGGGAATAATAAAATGGTAGCGTTTGTTCGATACCGGATGATGACTCCACCCTATATCCAGAATCAAACTGCTAAGTCTCAGACAATGAAGAACGGGATTCCGAGGGAATTGTATAGAGAAAGCAGAGATGGAAGTGCTGTAGAAATCACACTGAATTCTAAGGGATTATTTAAATTAGTCTAGAAAGCATCTAAGATCATTTGTTTGACACCTCATTGACGAGTAAACTTACCAATGCATCGACACTGGTCACAGTAGGGGTGAAGGGAATCCTGAACGTCCTCAACGAAGACCAACAGATTGACGCGACCACTCTGTTTGGAATCGTCCTGAAGAGTCACACACCATCCAGGTAGGCCATCGACGGAAACTTCTGATTCCGCACACTCCTCCAGAAAAGTTCGGACGTTATCTCTGAATGGCCCGTCATAATCCGCAGGGAACCCAGGGTCTGCAAAACTGTGAAAGGAGAAGAGTCTTTCTCCTCGCTTACGCTTCCTGATTGCTCGTTCGCGTGAGATGAACATTCCTGCCAATAGGTGAGCATTTAGATCTGGCAGATACATAGTCACGTTTTAGCTGAGTTACAGCCGTTTAAAGACAAATGCTGCGTTCAAGAGAAGAGCCATTTGTGCCTGAGGTAAGCCCAGGACGTACTTTGAACGGCTACAGGACAAATTGGGAGGAGAGTGTCGATGCACAGAGCAGTAGGAAGCACTTCGAACGAGCGTGTATTATTCTTAAGTGATTCTGCTGTTTCGATTCTTGGGCGACCACTTGAGATCCCGTGCACGCACACCAATTCAGATGGCAGGGACAACATCAAACTTGGATATACTAACAATGTATTTCTGATGACATTGGTCAGGACTTAGCACGGTGTTGTGCGGACAACAAGACGAATCAGATCTCCCGGAAAAGTACGCAGTCAACATCTTCGATAACACGTACAGAAAGCTCCTTATAACATGGCAAATGCAAGCGGAACTGCCTGGAATCCACCCAATGTAAAATTTAACTCATAACCTACTGGACATGCTTACCTAGTTTGAGCCCTGCGGCTCGCATTACCACTTCATGTAGCCAGGAGATAAAACACAGAATGTGCTTCCAAGACGACTTCAGCGTCATGTAAAACGTAATTAGCATTCGAAGAAAACTTTAATCAGAAACTTAAAGCAAATACAATATGATAAATCGCTCTGTTAAGGCTGGTCACTAACGCAGCACCTTGAAATTGGGTCATGCCTCTACGAGATAGTCGATATAGTGACTTTCTAGAGGAGAGCTAAAACTGAACCAACATCAATGGAGTTGCTATGCAGAATTATCCTGAAAATCTGAAGCATGAGACTACGTCAGCTTCTGATTCAAACAATTAACCACACGTCAATTAATGAGGCAACACCAAATTCGACACCACAATTCGAATCGCCTTAACGAGAAAGTCCTGGACCGAATAATCTCTCCCCATTTTTAGACATCCAGATTAGAATTTCCGAAACAGCAAAGCTGATGATTTAAAATACAAACGAAACACGGAAACCGCACTTGCAAGATATCCACCTCCTCGAGATAACGAGAAATTCGTTATACACAGGTAAATCAAGAGAAACATCACTCGGAATCTTGTGCAATTACACCAAGGGCATCAATATGAGAATCACGATAGGACTCCACCGAGATTGCGACGACTCCACATGCTTCTAAAAACCCTGACAAAGTCTTATCAACTCCAAGCCCGAATATGCAGTCCGCATTCACATTCATCAAAACTCTTTCGAATGAGCACAAATGCAGCAACTACCTAACGTCTCTATACCCTCACACACAATACAGCCGGATTGCTCCTCTGACAATCTCTCAATGGTAACCAAGAACCATTCCCCGAAGCTCACCAGACACAGAAAATCCACTTCCAAGACAGGGAAGAGTTTCCATTGAGCACCCCCTTCCAACATCAAATGTGACAACCACAATTATGAGCAAACTCAACCACGCGCCACTCAGCGGCAGCATGATTGACAACGTCGATCAGAACCACGAAGTCCCCGACCATAATTCAATGACTCTACCAATTGTGCAAGGATGCGGCGCTACCTCCTGGTCAGTGGAACCGCAGGCGACGACGTCGGCGGAGCTCGATCACAACCTGCAGGAGGAAGAGGAGCTGCGGTGAAGGCCGGGGAGGAAAAGCCTGAAACGATTCTTGCACGACGTCGCGCAAGGATGCCTGGAGAGATCGCCGATCCGAATCGAAAATAGTTGCGGAATGAATGAAAGCAACGAGACGTGACAAATAATAATATTATTCGAAATAATCATAATCATAATCATAATATATTGAAGGAGAATATTAGGAGCGCGGCGGCGGCGGCGGATTGTTGATGCCTGTTTGTTGAGCCCGCTGATCATTAGCTTCGGGAGAGTTCCAGCTCCGCGGAGGTCACCAAAGCGAGGGGGGCGGTGCCGGGGCAGAGCGGCAGGAGGAAGAAGAAGCACCCATAACCACGGCCAGGGAGGAAGGGCGGTACACCAGAGAGAGCCTGGTGGAGCGAACGTGCAGGGGATCGGTACTTGGCAAACTGGTATGGCCGGGCTGTACTTTCAGTACTGCCCCTCCCTCCCTCCCTCCCTGCGTCATCCATCCATGACCACCAACTCTCATCCACATATCATGATACATCCACAATTTTCATCCAAAGTACCAACGAGGAATTTCATTCATCTACAATCTCCTCTTTTCATCCATGAGCACACACGTGGTCATGCCCCATAACCGCCCTTAATGGGTCCCGCCCTCTCCGATGCTTAATTCAGCGGGGAATCCTAGTGGACCCATGACCATGCCTCATTTTGAACCTTGGTCTCCTCTTTGCTGTCCACCTGATCCCTTCCCTGCTGAAACCCGGCACCGTTACACTATCACATCCGGGTGACTCACTTGCAAACGGGTATTATTCTTGACTACATTTATCTAATGAACATTCACCCATTTTGTGCAGTGACCTGTTTTTGTTTTACTTCAGAATTTGTTTAAAATCAGAATTATGCTGGGAGCTGATTTGTATCCATATGAATGAAATATCAAAATATTAACTAAATCAGCTCTGGATTTCTAATTTTAACTGCTTATCATCTTCATAACCCTTATTTTGTGAATTGACTAGCACACAATTGCAAGGTTAATGTTTTACCTCATCAGGAAGGTTTGTAAATTGAAATAAAGCTCTAAATAAGCTCTAAATAAGACAGCATATGATGGCATCAAATCAAATTTAAAATACAGTATATGATTTTACCATATATTAATCATGTTTTGAAATGAATTTCAATTAAAGTAATATTATGAGATTGAGTTATTTTATTTTCCTTTATTATCATTTTTTAAAAATTAGAGATTAATTTTCTGAAAAGTATTATTTTCAAGGTTAGTCTCAAATTTTTAGTATGTACTGTACGCATATTTTTGAGACAATGTTTTATTATTATTTAAACAGTTTAAATTTGGAGTCTTCGTTGATTATGGTGTTTAAATGATTGGTATAAAACTTTAAAAATTAAAAAAAAAAAGTTTTCTATTAAGAAGAAATCTACAAACTTTTTTAGAGCAACGAATTTACCTTCTATAGAAATCCATTTTCATTTTTTCATACTCCGATCAAATGGAATTGGGACTACAATATCAAAACTTAATTCATTCACCATAGAACTATTTTTGAAATAAAATCTTAAGACATTCATATTTAAAAAAATTTAATGAAAACTTTTTTGTAAAATAATAAATACATGTAAATGAATATTTTTTTAGTTTACAATAAAAGTAATAATAAATTACCTTGAAATGATAAAATATTATAAGTTTATTTTTCTCTTCAAACAAAAAAATATTTGTATGCCATCATAAATTTAGTTTTAAAAAACCCAAATACACTTTCTTAGTAATTATGTGAATAAGAATTAGTATATCACAAGAATAAAAAATCATATTTATTAAGTTCACAGTTTTTATTTAATAATACACTTTGAAAATATTTAAAGAATACAATAAAAAATTGAACTTGGATCAGTGCAATTCAATTGGATATTTTCATTTTTATTTTATTTTTGATTCCCTTATCATTTTCATTTTTTTAGGTAGGATGGCATCAAGGTTTACTATACCCTCACTTGGTAAGACTTCATGTGATTCCATTACTGTAATGGCAATTTTTTAAATTCATCATTAAGGAGAAAAAAAAAGAAAAAAAAAAGAAAAAAAAAAAGAAAAAAGTTTTGTTGTGTTTTATTTCAAAATGATTAATGTGTTCAAATAATTCTGAAATAATATGTTGAAAAATTAATTATTTCTATGAAACTCTAGTTTCTTCACATAAGGGGGTCAAAGTCTACTCAAAATCTTTGTCATGTCCCAAGTTATAACATGGCATGTGCCCATATATACACCAACCCATACGTTCTAATTTCATGGGCTTCTATAAGAATTCTATTGCGTATAAAATTTTATACAAATCCCAAAACATTACAACCATTAATAATGTTTTGTAAATAAACATGTTGAAAGAGCATTATTTATTATTGAAAATATCATGTGTAGTAACAAAAAGGAAGGCATTTTAATGATACAAGTTTAATGCTGCAAAAACACATGTGAATTTAATACTATATACATCAGGATAGAAGCTAATCACTTGTTGCCTTGTAGTACTTTTTTGGTTGTGGGTTTTTGACTCCAAAATATCAGTATTTGATAAGATGGATGATTTTTAAGCAAAAGCACTATATCACTGACTTGTACTTGATTTGTAGACATTTGTCTGGTTATATCATCAGTTAGAGTCTAATTTTCAACAATAATCTTCTTCTTCTTCTTCTTCTTCTATCTCTCCTTCTTACTCCCATATATAAATATATGTATATATATATATATATATATATATATTAATGTATGCACATATATATACATCTTCACTTTCAGAACTAATTTGGTCACTAATTACATATCATTTATGTTTTTGAGTGATTGAATTTTAAAGGGATACTACAGTGTAGTTGCAAAATAATCCAAAAGTTCTTTTTTCTTTTTTCTTTTTTCTTCAAATGTTTGAAAAATTATACTAATAAACTACATGATGTTGTAGAGCTCAAACATGATAAATTTAAAATTCACTCAACCTCTGAGCTGTTCAAACCTCACTGGACATGATTTGGAGAGTTTCAGTTACTTAACCACCCTGCCCCACTTTCATCATTAGAATCAGTGCATTACTTCGGTTCACAATTAGGGTTATTTGGATACATACTTTTTCATTAGCTTTAATTCTGCCTCCTTTTTCATACACACACAAACACACACACACACACACATATATATATATATATATATATAAAAATAAAGTTTGTGGATTCTGAAATAAGTACACATAGGAAAACATCTCAATTTTATTTTACACGCTTATTTTTCTATTTTATTTTTCTAATTTATGACGGACGCAGATGTCATATTCATAAGATGCAATTGTGATACAACACTTGTAACTCTATTAACCATGTGACTTTAGGCTTAATTGGGGTCCTATTTATTTTAAACAGAACAAGGAACGAATGACATGGATGCATATCCGGCGGTTGATGGATGGATAGATGGATGGATGAAAGAGTTGAGAAAGGTACGGATGCCGTGGCAAAAGCCACTGCCACGTGTGCAGGGACAGGAGTGGCGGCAATGATGGGGAAGGGTGGGCGTGGCCGAGGGGGAGGCATCCATCATGACAACCTGTGGATGAATAGGTGTATGGATGTATGATAAAAGGGGGGAAGATGAAGAAGAAGTAGAAGGGACGAGGAAAGTATCCTCTTGTCCGTGCGTTGTTATCCTCTCTCTACATCGCTCTGTGTATATCTGTGTCTCTCTCTGTATCTCTGTATCTGTCTCTGTGTGTGTGTGCACCCGAATCGAGGATTATGTTGTCCCCCATTAGGGCAACCCTACCCTACCCTACCACCCCAGATAACAACTAAATACCACTATCACAGACAATCCAGCGGGGGAGGGTGGATTCTTCTAGAAGGAAAGGACAGGAAATGAAAGGAAAGGGGTTGGGGCTTAGCTATCGTAATTAATTATTATGAAGAAGGGAATAATAACTAACTAACACAGCAAACAAAACAAAACAAACAAACAAACCAAACAAACATACATACATGGCTACATCATCATAAATCCCTCCATCATCATCACGGGTTGTGGATGATCGCGATGATGATGATGATGATGGATGGATGGACAGACGGACGGACGGACGAACGAACGAACGAACTAACGAACGGACCGATGGATAGATTGACGGATGGATGGGCCGATGGATACAATGGATGGATGATAGAACGGATGGATGGATGGATGATCATGATTCTCTCTCTCTCTTTTCAGTTTCAGTTTTAGTTTTATTTTATTTTTTATAGTTTTTTTTATAGTTTTTTTGGTTAAAGTTATTTATTAATTTATTTTTCTTCTCTCTTTTCGGAGGTAAATTTTCTAAAAACGGGAGTAATAGTGAGATTGACTGTAACTTACCAAGGCTAAATTTTAGCTTGAACTTTAATTGATTGATTGGTTAATTAACTGAATGGAATGTTTGTCAAGCTCAGATTGTGAGATTTTCTTACTTTGCTAAAATAAATAAACCTTTTTGTAAAAAAGTTAAATTGATGGTTGTGGCATCTTTGATTTTTATTTGGCATATATGTATATGTTAATCTTGTTTGAGAATGAGAGATCAATATTAAATTTTTTTGGAAAATATGGAAAAACGTTTAATTGATAAATGAAATCAACTAAAATTGTGTGTGTGTGTGTGTGTCATTCACCTAAGGGTATTTTATACTTAGGGGACAAGTTCAGAAACCACAACTTTAAACTGTTTTGATTAATTGAAATTGAGAAGCCTCCTTGAGTTGGCTTTACAAGTCTTTTAAGCCATGGTCTATGAAAATGGACTTTTAAATATAAATTTACACACAAACACATTAGTTTCACTTTGGAAGTTGGTTATCTCATTAACCTCTGTTGCTATTTATTTATTTATTTTTTAAATATTCACAAAGAGTTGATTGGTAACACAAATATACACATTCCTAGCCTTCTACTTAAGTGGTGAACTTTTCGTTGCCAGTCCTTTAAACCTATTATTCCATTTCACTATTGCATCATTCTGAAATGAAAATCTGGACCAGTATTTACTTAAAAGGACAAGAATGTTTACGTTTTCCACATTTTTCTCCCACAAAAATAATGGGTCACTTTGTTCAACAGAGAATACAACTGATCACTTCAGGAAGGCTATGGTTTCATAAAGGTCAACAGTTCCTTCACACGAGGATCTTATTTT